CGGGATGTAAGGCGAGAGGAAAGATTGAAGCCCTAGAATAGGTCCATATAACATGGGCGAGTGGCAGTCTCATGTCCCTATACAACAAACAACTCTACTTGACAGGCGAATATTGTAGGTACTGAGTCTGCAAGCAATGATAGAATAGAGACTGTAGGCGTAGGACGGATAGGGGAGGGGGGTGGGAGGGCGGGGGTCAGACGGGAAGACCGCTGCAAGCCGATGGGAGGAAAAGGGACAAATTGCCACACAACCGCTGTAAGGGGAATGATGCCTTTTTTCATATTTCTCTGTTTCCTCAATGTATACCGCATTTGTTTGGTGTCCTGTAAAAGCTATGTGAAACAACAATAAAAAGAGAATGACAAAAAAAAAAATAGGCCTACTGTACTGTCTTCTCTGGACTAGATGAGATTTGAAACTTTGGGGATTACATATTGTCTTTCCTGCCAATTTTCCTTCAGATATATTTTTTTATAGCTAAATTGTATATTTTCATATTACAGTAACTGTTTTTCGACAAGAGGAATGTCTTTCATTCATCCACTGTTAACTCATTCAATACCAAAGTCATTCAGCTTTATACGAGGATTGTGCTTTACTGAAACAGCTATTAAAATAAGATACAATTTAGTTAACAAGACATGCATTTTCTTTTTGTTGTGTAACTTATATTTGTAATTATATAACGGATCAGCCATGAACATTAAAGAACTTCAGCATTAAAAAAAAAAAAAAATTACATACAGTCACATTTATTACATAAAACATATACATTCTACATATCCCCAGATAGCTTAGATCTGAGCGCACATTACTACCGAATGGCGCTCATATTACATACATACAGTTAAATCGCCATGGAGCCAAAGTCTTTCCCATAGTCTTTTGTTTCTGCTTACCGAATGGGAAGGTAAGGAGGCTGGCGGCTCAGCGGTGTTCGCGCCAATAAGTGTCCATTTTCAGTTCCATAGTTTGGGCGCTGAACACCGCTGGCCGTTGGGGAGGTAAAATGGCCGCTGCCACGTGTTCGGCAGACGAACAAAGGCCACCCAGCGTTCATCAATTAAGCTGCGGTTAACCGCAGCTTCTGGGCGGTCAATTGACGGCACACTCCAGCTCCCAGGTAGTCCATCGTTCGGTAGTTTGTTCGGTAGATGGAATCTACCGAACACGCTGGCAGAAAGGCACGAATAAACCTTTCAGCAGGGAAAATAACAGCTCTGAACTGCTGGGCCATAATCTAAAGGGAACAGGCGAGCAACCAGGCTTCTCCAGTGTACAGTGGCGAGGTTGGTTCCGCCACAATGTTTGTATGTATTTACACATACTTTTTCAAGATCTTAAAAAAGTACATGTGAACACATACAAAACAATTTTAAATTTGGCAGCACTTTTAAAGATTTTACAACAAATTTGCAACAGTTATTACAGTGGTGAGTAATGGAGAAATGATGTGGCATTGACACCACATTTATCTTTGGCCCCTCTGTAACAGCGTCAGGTTTTAATAAAGGAATACAATTTTGGCAAGTTATATGGTGGATTGAAATGATGATTCTCCCCACTTGGGGTTTGGCATTCTTCTTTTACTTTGTTTTTTGTAAATGACCTGCTGCAACCTCTCAGGGTCGACTGCAATTTCCAGGTGGGGAACACTGTTGTCAATCATGCTACTCAATTTTTACATGCCGTGGAAAACCCCTGGTTTTAATACACTATATATTGATAGTAACCTTAGTTCTGGGCTGCCTAAGTGACGGAATGTAACTAGCCCCCAGCACAAAAATGAAGACATCTGTATGTGCAGTGTTTCAAGAAGAAATGCTGCACATACAAATTACCACCATCACGACCACTTCTAAAAGCAGTAATGGTCATGGTGTTATGGTTACCTTTTAATTGCTTTACTACCTCTATTTACTGCTTCATTAAATATCTTATGTAGGACTTATTCCTTCTCAAAATATGAGATGATTTGAACTAAGGTTCATTAACCATCAAGCTCTATCAACATTATTCAATTTTAAAAGGGTATTCTCCAGGTGCTCAAGTCAAAGATCACAAGGGGACTTGGGAGAAGATCTAGAGACTCTAAAATGTAGCACAATGTATTTTAAATAATCTATTATTCAAAGTGATCTATTAGCACATAAGGTGGTCACATGCTTTCAATTTTGCAAGACTGTAATTCAGTGACTTTGGCAGTATTCCATACCATTCTGTTGGGGATGACATAAGGCAAGCATGTCAAACTCAAAGGCTAACTCGGGCCAAATAAACAAGGCATAAGTTTATGTGGGCCGCAAAAAAAAAGAGTTCGACCTGGACCAACACAAACTAAAATTACTTGTACCATTCACATGCAAACATGTAATCCTGGGTACATATATAATTCACTCAAAAGCTTCACTTCAAGTTACTTACTATCTCAGTAGTAATGCCACTGTATGAAATGTCCGCTCTGCTCACTCCCTCTGCAAACTAGTGTCAGTCAGGTAGGTAGCCGAACTGTCCGCTCCGCTAGCTTCCTAGTCCCTCTGCAATCTCCAGGCCGGGCATGGTGTTGGTGCACACTCAACTCCGCTTACTTCTTCCCCCCTTCCTTCAATCTCTCTCCCCCACATCTTTCCCTGCCTTCCATATCTCTCCCTCCTGTTTCTCTCCCACTTTCCATCCATGTCTCCCTTCTATATCTCTCCCTCCATTTTATATCTCTCCCCCAACTTTCAATTCATATCTTCCATTCCGAACTTCCCCAATCAGGTCTCCCTTCCATTCATACCTCCCTCCTCCTTATCTGGCAGGCAGTTGTTTCTCCTCAAAGAGCTGGCGCCAAAGATACTGCTCTGCCCTATAGATAGAAGGTCCTCCTCCCTGCTGTTTCACAACTGAAATAGCAGGGGAGGGGAGCCTCTCATTCTCCAGTGGTGCATGGCGTCAGACTGAGCGCCGGGTAGTCACAAGACTCCCGGTGCTTCCTCTCCCAGTGTACTGGGCGTGCAGTTCCTTTGTGGAGCCGCACGCTTCCAGGGAGCGGCAAGTGCAAAAATCACTTATCAGTCTGACAAGTGATTTTTGCTCCTTCCTGATGGGCTAGGCCGCAAATAAATTGATTGCGGACCACGAGTGTGACATGCTTCACGTAAGGGAATTGACATGAGAAGAGATTTTAAAAAACAAACAAAAAAAAACACTCCAAGCCCCTAAAACATTTCAGCCTGCTTAAAAGGGCCACTAAAGTCATGCAGACTACTTAATCTCACTTTAGTGGCCTAGGTGCAGTGGTTCTACAGTTTTAAGCCAGAAACATAAGTGTTTACGTTCAAGGGTTAAACATGCCTTCAGTAACGGTCATACTGACAGCTACTAGAGGTACTTCAGCTGTACTAACAGAGTTTGACTGTCACATGATCTTCAACAGCCAGGAGGACATCGAACATCATCAAATGCAGCTCATAGGAAAGCATGCGCATCAGGTCTCCAAAGCTCCTACATGAGGAGCACTGGACTGGACCCGTGACGAGGAAGTAACATCTTCTTTAAATGTCGCAGGAGAAAGATCGATTGGCACTGCCGAGAGATTCTCGGAAATGGAAAAGGAAAGTAAAAACCTTATATTACAGTCTTTTACACAGTAAAGGGGGTCAGAGTCAACTTTATTAGGGACAAGGACACTATAGCATTAGAAATACAGGACTGTATTCCTAACGCTATAGTGTTTCATTAAAGGGTTACACCAAGGACCAGAACCAGTTCCGGGCTGGCTAATGTGTGCGCTGTGAGTTTTCCATTAAAGTAGCTATAGTGCCATTGTCTCTAATCAGGGTAGTTCTCCCCAGTGTGTAATAAAAATCAAATAAAGGTTTTACGTACTTTTTTCCAGCACCAGGCTCCCTCACCCCACTGTTGGGTGATGTTGGAGAAGACGGAGCGCCTACCCAGTGCCGGGGGAGATTGACGCTGCAATCAGGTAAATACAGTAAAGGTTTATTAACCCAGTGCCAGGGGAGGGGGGCAGAGGAAAGTATAGTGCTAGGAAGCCAGATTTGTATTCCTGGCACTATAGTATCCCTTTAATTGTTTGTCAGTCAGCTACACCCAAATTCCTCCCTGGAGGTGCAACACTACAATTTTACACCAGGACGTACATCATATTTCCCACTACCTGAGTCAAATGTGGAAACCCTATTATATTGAATTGTTTTAAAAGTGTAGATGGATAGGTTCCTCTATATGAAAAAGAATGTCTCTTTCCATAGCCACATGTACATTTTCCCTTTGGACTTTCTGTACCCTGTATGTTACATTACATGACCGAATTATAAAGTATGAGTACGTTGTGAATGTTTTTACATCATGTTCACAGACCCCCATTACTGCAGGGTACTGACATCCCCCCGCCCCCCTGAGAACACGTGTGGCCAGACCTGTCACAATGACCGAAACACAGGCCTGATTGACAGACAGGCGCTACCCACAAATTAGTGAGGGTGTTGCTGATGGACACATGGGGGGCTGTCAGACAGTTTTGGTAAATGCATGTTAATAGCTATTCACCCGGCTCCGGTCTCCGCGATCCTCCCACGCTCGGAATACGCTCTTCCCGCTGCCCTCACTCTTTTCATTTAAACATTCCAGTTTATCGAGGTCGATCTTTCGGAAGAGCCCGTATTCCAGGCCTCGCTCAGGGGCATCGCTCCGTTCAGCGCCGCAAGAACAGCCGCCACCATGACTGTGCCCGTGCGCCATGTCCGCACTTCCGTCAACAGTGCCTCCGCCATCTTGGTACTCTCACAACGTAACACGCCGCCGCCATCTTACTACTCCCAGCAGCCACATACGTGCTTGTTAGTGCACAAAACACGTGTCTCATTCTAAGCTTCCTCACCGTTGATATATCTGCTAATTGTATTCGATAACCCTTTAGCAATACCGTGCTTTCTTTTAATCTTTCAGTGATGTCCCCTTTAGTATGTTAAATGATACAGACTATATATCCACTGTTCACATTTTTATTAAGATCCAAATAAATCCATTTGCATATATCAGTCTAGTTAAAATATTCAATCTCCTTGAAACCACAAAAATATTATTTACAAAAAAAAAAGTAAAATAATTCCGCATGAAACCCAGGAACCCGCTGCTGATTTTAGGCTTACAACTGCATTGACAGGCTAGGTTTCCAGAAGGAAAATTCCCAGGCATGGCTCAGACCATGTCACAACAGTGGTTCTTAATCCTTGTTTATAGAAACACCGTCAGCTTCTTTTGTCACCTGAATGCTGTCATTTGGGTAGCCATTGGTCAAGCATAGGCACTTACCCAACCAAAGTCATGTCGCAATGAATGACCAATAGGACAAAGTAGCATTAATTTCGGCCAGCAAGTGCGGGTTCCGAAACACATGTTCCTTAAATAGCAGTAAACAGGTGGAAAAAGAATGGGCACCTGCCAGTGTTTCTTTAAGGACGCTGGTAGATTGTGAGATATTGTTAATCCAGTAGTGTTTGGGACAGGATAGCAGTAATTACTAAAATCACACTAGGCATATATGAATTTATCCCCCTAAGAGCCTTAGATTCAATGAGACCGTCCCTTTTTGGCTCCTGCCCTGTCCTCAGTTTGTTTTCCCTAAAATGTACTGGAATAGATGCAATAATTACTATACCGAGTGTTTCACCAGTGTGATGCGCATGGACAAACCTGAGGGGAAAGGGCAGCATGACATGTATGCTCTGCACTTAAAGATCCCCTTTTTGACAGGTTCCCCTATACCTCTCCCATTGTTGGAAATACTTTAAACCCTGCCTACAGTCTGCAGTACTGATAAGCATCCTATGTAAATATAGCAATGCAGCAACCCTAATGAGAGTTCTATGCAATAATTCAGAGGCCCCATTTTATTAAAACATGATCATATATGTTAGACCATAAACTGTTTACAAAAGCAGCATGGCCATCCCTAGAAAATGGGGGACCATTTAAAACCATTTAAAACTAGAAAAGGTCGAATACGTTTTTTTGTAGAATTTATTTCAGTATCTATTTTATTAAAAACAAAGAAGGGGTTTCTAGGCCAATACAATTTACATACCAAAAAGGTTAAGAACCACTGTGTTGGGATGTGATAGGACGTCAGGCAGTAGTGCTTGGCCAGTGTACAGAATTAAAATCAGGACATATCTTTGCAAGAGTGGAACAAATGCCAGCCACCACTATCACAATGGGTTTTAGTGAGTGTTATAGTTTATACTGCCTCATAAAACATTCTTAAAAACGAATGTAGAGGTATTGCAAGCAGGGTCAGCATGTACTTCACCTCTAGGCAACTGGTGCAATACTTCTCATTTATTTTCAATAAGAAAGAAAATGAAAATAAATAAATATGGCAATACTAGTTTAGAGGATTCCAAGAGTACCTAAAACTGATGCTTTTAGATGTAGAATTTATCTTCCATCCTACTTGATCCAACATTTCGCAGGGTGTGTGTAAACACATATTGATTGTTGGTAAAAGAACAAAGTACATCTGCGCAAAATTAAAATTCCACAATCAACATTACATGACACTGCAACACCAAAATATCAGATCAATGACAGACTGCTACAAAAACACCAGACCTTGTTAGAAACAAAACAAAATAAAAACCCAAAGCATAAAAAAAAAAAGATAAAAAATACAGGAACTGCGTGTAACACTAAGTTTTTCCTAAAATGGGAGAGTAATTTCCAGGAAAAATGGAGGTATACTGCACCCAATGCTGTAAAATAAAATTAAGAAGTGGTTTAGACATCTATTGTTTTACAAATAATCCCATAGTTTTTTCTAGAATATTAACTCATTCCAATGGACAATCATATGACTAGTTTAAAGTATTACATCCCACCTTGTAGGCAGGTGGCTCACAAATACTGTGTTTTAGTTACATAATTTAAGTCTACAGTAAAGACCTGGCTCAATGTTGCCAGAACTAGACCAGAACTGGGTACAGTTAAAATATCACAGTAAGAGGAAGTAGTAAGTACAAGTCTACCAACATCAGGTCAAAGAAATAAAATAGAATCCAGTGGGACCATAAATAGGAGGAGGAGAATATATTAAAACCGTTTAAATAAACAAGACGTTGCATGTTTTGCAAATGGCATCAAATGAGAGTTTGGGTCCAGAGGAAGATGGGTCTGTTTGGAGCTGGTAGAACCTCTGATGCAAATTCATAGAGGGTATTTTCTTGCTCCCCACTTAAATTCACAAAAGCAACACAGTTCTTTTTTTTGTTGTTGGTTTCTTTTTGCTTTATCTTCTAGAGAACCTGTTCTTGAAAGCTTGTATAGTCTTGGCCATCATCGGAGCAACTTCTGAAAATAGTGAAGGATAATTTAATGAAGAAAGAATGCAAAGATATGCAACAGAGATACAGAAACACAGATTAGTGATGCAACAGATTAAACAAAAAAGAAAAGAAAAGAAAAGTTATATTCTCAACCCACAGTTATATAACTTTTCAAAGATCAGATTTTCTTTTAAATAAAAGGCTTTTGAGGAACACATTAGCATAGGAATACAATAATTCCTAGCTGATTTGGGGGAAGGGAGAGAAGAGAGACCTAATGCGCCATATGTGCAATAGGCTTTCCTCATAGGGAATTTGCTTGACACTGGATTAACTCATTTCAAGGAAGTGCCTTACTAGAGGCAGTCTTAGCTCTGCAATGTAAATGTGAAGGAGCACTCAAACACGTTCAACTGTTTGTCTGGATTTATGTCCCCCAGTTTAGTTTATTCTGTTCAGTTCCAGAACTGAGACCACCGCAGAGACCCACTAAACCATTGAATGTTAAGTACCTGTACAAAAACCACAAAGGAACTTGTTAAAAGAATGCTCCACTGGGTGGCCACCATTTCGAGCATGCAATCGCACGTGGTCGAGACAATGGATGGCGGCAATCTTGACTCCCGAACACTGGCACTGGGACATGGTCGTCGAGTGCCTGGAACTCTTTTCAACCAGGCACTCCTGCGAACACCGGTCATCATGGACCTGCTGCCCGTTCCAGTTCTATTTCATATACAAGAACGGCGTTAGGGAATTAGAGACTACCGAACACTGGGAGCATTCCACACGAACCAGCTTTCAACTAACTTATGTGGTTTTCGTACAAAACCCCACGAACGGAGACCGGCTCTTGCCACCAATTCCCTGGAACTATTTTGGGCTTCTACCTCGTGACAGATCAGTCAGAACAAACGGATCTGGATGATTTTTGGATATATTGTTCGACCCCAGATCCAGGCTATCCAGGGATGTGACTTTTCTGGGGTTTCCATGTATGTTTGGGGTACTTTTGGAGTTTTGTAAAATTTTACATTTTTCTGTGCCTGGAGATAATAGAGTTTAGCACACTTCCTGACTGAATTATCTCTCAGGCACAGAGAAGGAGTTTTCTGACTGTATAAATGTGATGCCTGTACTGCCATTAAACCAGTCTTCTCCCAGCATTAAACCATGGCTCATCTGTTGGGGGTTATGGAATATCGGTGCTATTTTACCTTGGGGATTATTTTGGGTTCTTGTATTGGTAAAAGGTCTCCGTGGCGGTGATACTTTGGCAGACCGCCACAGTAAACATTGTGGTTTCTCTAAATCAGAATTGTTTTACATTGCTGGTTTAAGGGAACAGGGACACTGCACAATGAGATGAAGTGGCACAACGTAGATCAGGACACCCCTGGTGGATTCTTTATCGAGCAGCTTTATTATAAAGTGCAGTAGGGAATCGGCCGATATTCTGTATTTTCAGCAATATTGGTATTGGCCAATGAAGATACAGATATTGCCAACCAGGGCCACCATCAGGGTCCTGGGGGGCCCAGCACACACTTACCCTCCCAGCAGCTCCTTTCAGCTCCCCATCTCACTCTCGCGAGTCCCGTGGCAGTCAGAGTGTTGCCACGGGTTAGCATGACAATGCTCTGGGCGGCACGCTGGCCGCGAGAGTTAGACAGCGGAGCCTGGGAAGGGAAGTAAAAGTGTTCTGGCCGCCCCAGGAAATGCCGTATTCCCCCTCAATGGCCAGGTAAGAAGCAGGGACTAAAACTAAATGTAAAAAAATTTAATAAAAAAAAAAGTAAAAAAAAAATATTTGTCCCCCCCATTTTACACACATTACATACACAAACACACACAGTCTGCATTCATTATATATATATATATATATATATATATATATATATATATATATATATATACATATATATACATATATATATATATATATACACACATATACACACACACATATACATACACACACACACTGCATCCACTACACACATACTCTGCATTCATTATATACACACACTACACAAACACTCACTGCATCCACTACACAAACACACACACTGCATTCACTAATCAAATACTCTCACTGCATCCACTACTCACACATATTCTTGAAAAAATAAATTCTGACTGGCATTTATATTTTGTGCATTTACCTTAACCCCTTAAGGACTGAGCCAAATGTACACGTTGTGATCAAAACAAAACTTAAACAAAACCTGGCATTTGCGCTATATGTCTGTCCAACCGTAATTCACCTTTTTCATATTAAATGCACCCACACTTATATATCATTTTATTCAGGGGAAACAGAGCTTTCATTTAATATCAAATATTTAGGTATGAAACATAATTTAATATGAATTACATATAAAAAAGGGGAGAAAATAAGATTTTAAAAAAATAATCTTTTAGTTCTACGTGACATTCTAACTGTGAATGTCATAATACTGTTTGCCTTTACTGCAATAAAACACACATTTGTATTCAGTGATGTTTCACGTGTAAAACATTACCCCCTATGTACAGGTTTTATGGTGTTTTGGGAAGTTACAGGGTCAAATATAGCATGGTACATTTTTCAGTTTTTTTACATTGAAATTCGCCTGTTATGTTGCCTTTGAGACCGTATGGTAGCCCAGGAATGAGAATTACCCCCATGATGGCATACCATTTGCAATAGTAGACAACCCAAGGTATTGCAAATGGGGTATGTCCAATCTGTTTTAGTAGCCACATGGTCACAAACACTAGCCAAAGTTAACGTTAATATTTGTGTGTGAAAAATGCAAAAAACTAATCTGAACGCCAATTTTAGCCCTTGTTTGTGACTAAAGTAGCTACTAAAAAAGACTGGAGGTACCCCATTTACAATACCTTGGGTTGTCTACTATTGCAAATGGTATGCCATCATGCGGGTAATTTTCATTCCTGGGCTACCATACAGTCTCAAAGGCAACGTAACCAATCTGGCGAATTTCAATATGAAAAAAAACAAAACGCAAGCCTTATATTTGACTCTGTAACTTTTGCAAACACCATAAAACCTGTACATGAGTGATACTGTTATACTCGGGAGACTTTGCTGAACACAAATATTTGTGTTTCAAAACAGTAAAAAGTATTACAGCAATAATATCGTCAGTGTAAGTGCCGTTTGTGTGTGAAAATTGCAAAAAACGTCACTTTCACTGACGATATTGTTGTAATACATTTTACTGTTTTGAAACACTAATATTTGTGTTCAGCAACGTCTCCTGAGCAAAACAGTACCCCCCATGTACAGGTTTTATGGCGTCTTGGAAAGTTATAGGGCTAAATATAGTAAATTAAATTCTCTATTCCCTTTTGGCCTGGGTTGTCAGGCAGGTCCCGCAAATTGTAATAAATAAAATGACCTAATTATGTAAAATTATTACATAAATAAATATAAATATATATATAATTTTTTAAAATTATTTTTATTCATAGGTATACATGTTGTGATATATATACGTATATACTTATGTATATAGATATATATTATTTCGTTCTACGTGTATTTTGATATCAATATACAGTTAGAATGAAATTACACATATATATTATTTATTTTTAACGCATTTACATATTTTTTCTCTTCTATATATTATATATATAATTATATATATTTAATCAATATCATTCTACGTGTATGTTGACATTAATATATATATTTATATTAATATTAAAATACACTTAGACAGTGTATTTGTGTGTATGTGTAAAGGTGTTTGAGTGTGTGTGTATATATATATATATATATATACACATACATACATACATACACACACACACACACACACTTAAATCATATAATATATATAAATGATCTAAGTACATTGTATTTTTAACCTAAAGGGGTTAAGAGGGGAGGAGAGGGGCAGAGACAGTGTCAGCCAGTGATTTCAGATCATTGGCTGACACATAGGAACAGTGATCATAGTGACTGGCTGTCACTGTGATCACCTCCTGCAGATCGTGGTAATTGGCCACAGGGGGAGTGCCTGGGTGGCCTGCATGCCCCCCCCATGATCTGCAGGGGGATCATGCCTGCAGTTACACATAGGCTGACAAATGGTAACACTGATCGCAATGACAGGCTGTCTCTGCGATCAGATCGCAATAACAGCCTGTCACTGCGATCAGACTGTGCAGATCGCGGTCACTGACCGCAGGGGGACTGCCTGGGGGGCCAGGCATTTCCCCCGGCCACGTGTGTCAGCCGATTTTAAAATTGGCTGACACATAGTAAATACTGATCGAAGTGACAGCCTGTCACTGTGATCAGAGGTTGCAGACCATGGACACTGGGGGCTGCCTGGGTGGCCAGGCATGCCCCCCGACCGCGATCTGCAGCGGGCTCATGGCGCCGGCCACATGGGCGTCAAGAACAGTTAAGACGTTCTATGCCACCCGCTGGTGTTTAGAGCCAGCCCCTTAAGGACGGCATAGACCATCCACCGTCCTTAAGGGGCTAATATAAAAAAAATGTAAATAAAAAAAAAGATTTGCTAAATAAATAAATAATAAACATGTTCAGTTAACAGTAGATTTGTGTAAAAATAGTTAAATTTTTTAAAATGGTAAATGTACAGAATATCGTTATCGGTAAGTTATCGCCTTTGGTGTGAAAGTTCACAGATAATCGGCTCTAAGAAAAAAAAAAATTCAATATCGGTCGATTCCTAAAGTGCAGAACAAAAAAAGTTTTGACTCCTTTGAGCCTTTGTCAAGTTATGCACAGGTAAGAATGACCATGAACAGATGACAAAACGTACAGATGTTTTGCAATTTCAGGGCTCGGTAGCAATTCTTTGGATCAATATAAGAAATCTCTCTAAAATGCTAATTATCTATCAAGATGTGGTAAAATATAACAAAACCAAATGACTAAATAAATCATATGCAGATATGCATTTCTGTATTACAAGACTAATTACAAAAAGGAAAATCATGCCAAAGAAAGCGTTTTAGGAGTGGTGTTTCACAAGGATCTATGCATAGATATGTGTAATTTGGGCTAGCGTACAAGTCTGACTTAAATAGTTGGCACAAAGGAAACAAGTTAAATGGGCATTCCAAGCACAGGATATAGTGTGAAAATATATCCTGTGCCAGTCTCCCTGCACACAGTTAAAGCGGAACAGTTACGCCAAACTTACCTTTCTCCTATTGTTTCCGCTTCTCTTCCTCACTTGGGATCTATTCTTCTTTTCTTTCTATCTGATCTAGTTTTCTTTAAAACATAAGACAAAGTAGGGACTATTTTGTCTTATGTATTTATAGCACGCTTGACCTTCTTTGACTAAATGAGGAGCTTAAGTCTGCTCCATTTCCTGTGGTCAAAGAAATTTTCCCACAATACTTACCTCTCCTCCCGTATTCTCACATTGCTTAAATCACTGTTCAAACATCCTGTCATTTAGACAGTGCGCAGGCGATTTCACCGAATTTCGTCCTAACAGAATGTGTACAGTTTGTTCATTCGTGTTAGGATGAAGTTCGGACTTTTTGTTCGATTTGAAATTTCTTTTGAATGAAACTCTGATCCAATCAGTACCACAGCTGCATCTTGCAGCACATTGTAGATAGGCCCCTAATTCCCACAGTATTAGGGAGCTAACTACTAAAAAGCCAAAAGACCAAAATTGGTCTTTCAACCTACGTTACTAATATGAAGTAAAGCCTTAGCAGGATAGCGAGTAGAGGCATTCAGGAGATTATAATCTCCCTTATGCTAATATGGGGGTTATACTGACATGGGGGAGGCTCGAGAAAGACTCCTTCATGACTTACTATGAAGGAGCCAGAGCTACATTAGTGACCATGCATCTGAATTTGATGGCTCTTTTCATAAAAGGAATAAGAAAAAGGGTTGATATTCCTCAAACAATCCTGGTCCTCCTAATATTTTAAGCAAGAGCTCTGTGTGGTTCTAGACCGTTTACTGAATAGCACAATTCATGATTTCTTATAAAAAGAGTTATTAATGGCCATGGCAGTGCTAAGCCTGTATAAGTTACTTAGATCTTTACAAAGAGCAAAAAACATTCATGGACGTATTCAAAATGGTGAGCAGATTTTTGCAAACTGAACAGACTAAGGGAGACAAGGATCTTTATGCACCAAAATTCAACCAAAGAACACCTGTAACTTTAGTGTATAAAACATCCCTTTAAATTCCAGATTTCTTTGTAATCCAACAAACAACAATATGAAAATAAGTTAAACCTACTCTTGACTTGTGGTTTCCGAGGGTTGTGTCCATGCTGAACACTGCTAGGCGTTGATGATGTGCTACTGGTGCTTGGTCCTTCAAATAATCGAGAATCCTCTGATACCTGATTGCTACTACTGCTGTTCCCTCCACTGCTGCTACTAGTGACGGGTGTGAAAGGCTTAAACCTACACAAAGAGGGGAAAAAACAAAAAATTACAGCCACACATTGATATAACTGGGTGTCCCACTGTAAAGTTGTCCTTTAATGTAGATGTTCTCAAGATTTAATTACCATTAATATTAAAGCACCCACACACGGACCTACATTGAACAGTATATTAAGAAAGGCAATATGAACCCCACACATTAAACCCAATATAAAGCAGGGGTGTCATTTGTGGTTGTAGAGGAATGCAACCATGCCATAGCTGTAGGATAATCTAATAAAACAAAGAAAATTTAATATCTCCAATTATTTTGCCTTGAAGTTCTGTCCTGTTTCAAAAAGACATAAAACTCCCTAATCTGAAGTACAATGACCTCTCCCATACCTCATCTTCTCTGGCACAGCAGCAGCTCCTGTTCCAAATTTTTCCTGCCTTCTGCGTACATCTCGTGGTGGTTTTACAGCTGAATCCACAAATGCCATTTTAGCTTGTCGACCTGCCGATGAGAAAACAATATAAACTAGAAGTAGGTATGTGTCAATAGAACACTGTACCTGTGCATATTTTACTTTGTGTTGCATTAGAAAATCTATGATAATGTGTACATTCAATATCTGAAGCGGCTACCATCTTTGCAAACATCCACGAGCACCATGTTCTTTCTTTTACTAATTGTGCTAGTCCACTAGGCACCTACGTCCGTGCTGTACTCTAGTGTATGGGCAACAGTACAATGCTGATGTTTATGGAGGATCCCACAAGATCGCAGAAGCCTCCAGAAACATAAAAAATGTTGGTGACAAAGCTACTTTAAGCCCCTTCGGATCCAAACACAAAGTGTATTTATAAATCCAAAGCAAAACCCAGTCTGTATCAAATAAATTATCTTTCCTAACACTCCGTCATATTTGGGGTGCTGAAGGCGTACAAACATCAATCTTTCAATCCTTAGACTGGACTGTTTATAAAAACAAAAAGATCCAAAGTGCGCTTGCACTCAATCACAACATAGGTGCAGATATCCGGGTCACCTCCAAAGACCCCAAACTACACTATATCAAATACCAAATGATACAACACTCACAGTTTGAGAGAAAGCACAAAGTTTATTAGTATAACATAGCCACTATAGGCAGAGTCCAAAGTAAACCTATAAATCAAAAAATAACTAATATACAGACAAGACATAGAATCATAGAATGTGACGGCAGATAAGAACCATTCGGCCCATCTAGTCTGCCCAATTTTCTAAATACTTTCATTAGTCCCTAGCCTTATCTTATAGTTAGGATAGCCTTATGCCTATCCCACGCATGCTTAAACTCCTTTACTGTGTTAACCTCTACCACTTCAGCTGGAAGGCTTTTCCATGCATCCACTACCCTCTCAGTAAAGTAATACTTTCTGATATTATTTATAGAAAGACAGCTCAATATCCTGTCCAAAGAGAAAGTGCATTGAAGATTATAAAGTGTTACGTGCCAAACCACCATAATAACTGTAAACCTGTACACATAATATAAAGTGCATCAACACATCCATATACAATATAAAATACTGCCTGTAATGTACAGGGAGTGCAGAATTATTAGGCAAATGAGTATTTTGACCACATCATCCTCTTTATGCATGTTGTCTTACTCCAAGCTGTATAGGCTCGAAAGCCTACTACCAATTAAGCATATTAGGTGATGTGCATCTCTGTAATGAGAAGGGGTGTGGTCTAATGACATCAACACCCTATATCAGGTGTGCATAATTATTAGGCAACTTCCTTTCCTTTGGCAAAATGGGTCAAAAGAAGGACTTGACAGGCTCAGAAAAGTCAAAAATAGTGAGATATCTTGCAGAGGGATGCAGCACTCTTAAAATTGCAAAGCTTCTGAAGCGTGATCATCGAACAATCAAGCGTTTCATTCAAAATAGTCAACAGGGTCGCAAGAAGCGTGTGGAAAAACCAAGGCGCAAAATAACTGCCCATGAACTGAGAAAAGTCAAGCGTGCAGCTGCCACGATGCCACTTGCCACCAGTTTGGCCATATTTCAGAGCTGCAACATCACTGGAGTGCCCAAAAGCACAAGGTGTGCAATACTCAGAGACATGGCCAAGGTAAGAAAGGCTGAAAGACGACCACCACTGAACAAGACACACAAGCTGAAACGTCAAGACTGGGCCAAGAAATATCTCAAGACTGATTTTTCTAAGGTTTTATGGACTGATGAAATGAGAGTGAGTCTTGATGGGCCAGATGGATGGGCCCGTGGCTGGATTGGTAAAGGGCAGAGAGCTCCAGTCCGACTCAGACGCCAGCAAGGTGGAGGTGGAGTACTGGTTTGGGCTGGTATCATCAAAGATGAGCTTGTGGGGCCTTTTCGGGTTGAGGATGGAGTCAAGCTCAACTCCCAGTCCTACTGCCAGTTCCTGGAAGACACCTTCTTCAAGCAGTGGTACAGGAAGAAGTCTGCATCCTTCAAGAAAAACATGATTTTCATGCAGGACAATGCTCCATCACACGCGTCCAAGTACTCCACAGCGTGGCTGGCAAGAAAGGGTATAAAAGAAGAAAATCTAATGACATGGCCTCCTTGTTCACCTGATCTGAACCCCATTGAGAACCTGTGGTCCATCATCAAATGTGAGATTTACAAGGAGGGAAAACAGTACACCTCTCTGAACAGTGTCTGGGAGGCTGTGGTTGCTGCTGCACGCAATGTTGATGGTGAACAGATCAAAACACTGACAGAATCCATGGATGGCAGGCTTTTGAGTGTCCTTGCAAAGAAAGGTGGCTATATTGGTCACTGATTTGTTTTTGTTTTGTTTTTGAATGTCAGAAATGTATATTTGTGAATGTTGAGATGTTATATTGGTTTCACTGGTAATAATAAATAATTGAAATGGGTATATATTTGTTTTTTGTTAAGTTGCCTAATAATTATGCACAGTAATAGTCACCTGCACACACAGATATCCCCCTAACATAGCTATAACTAAAAACAAACTAAAAACTACTTCCAAAAATATTCAGCTTTGATATTAATGAGTTTTTTGGGTTCATTGAGAACATGGTTGTTGTTCAATAATAAAATTAATCCTCAAAAATACAACTTGCCTAATAATTCTGCACTCCCTGTATTAAGGTTAAGGGAAGGACTTTACTGTAAAAGCAGCACTGGGGCATACATGTGCCATTGCTGTCTCAGATTTGTGGAAATTACAGTCTCAGGCAGCAGATATTTCATTATACATTATCATTAGAATGGCAGCAGGTAGTATTTTGGGAGTGTAACAATAATTGACACGGTTTCTCTAGAGAGAATGCAGATCAGCAATTTTTTGAAGAAATTACTCCTCAAATACCCTTTCTTCTTTTGAAGGTCATCTTATGGTTTAAATCAGGGGACAATTTAGATCCAAACAATACAAGCAATTACTGACTGCCAATAAGTATGTGTTGGTGATTAATACAAGGTATTGTAACCTAGCGATGAGCCCCCCTTAATTACTTCTTGACAAGGGGTCAGGCAAATCCTTTAATATCATCCTTGAACTGTTAAATAATCTGCCATGAAGATGTTAAAAAACGTTAAGAGCACGGGGGTGGGGCCTGGATGCCGAGCTGACAAGACGTGCATCGCCTGAGCTCCACAAACCGGGTCAGAAATTCGACGATAAAGCCGGGCCGCTTGCTCATCTGAACCAGTGCCGAAGTTGTCCTAGTAAAGGGAACAACAGCGCAACCAGCGACACCAAACTGTCACCTCACCTACTGAAACGCTGACACTGAGGCTTGCGGCCTACACAAGCGTGGGCTCCAGAGAGACGGCCGCTCTCAGAGTCCTTTACCTGGCACAGTGAGTCTGGCGACAGGCTTCCCACCCCCCACCCCCTTTCTGGACCGGTGGGGGTCATCTCTGTTTCCCCTGCCACGCTCCATCCAACCCAGCTGGCAACACACTGCTAACCTGCTACACATTCGAGCCAACGCAAGCACGGGTAAAATGGCAGCAGCGCTCAACTTCATTCAGCCTAACAAACCACACTCAGCGAGACCCATGCCGGGCCCCATTGAGCGACTACTACTAAACGTAGACACGATCCTGGCAAGATCCTGGGCGAAAATGGAGGCTTGTGAAACGGAGACATCGCACCAGATACAGGTGAAAGGGCATGGCACCGATCTGCAGGGGATGAGCGGGTCCCCTCAGGGCGCACCTCCCCCCCCCCCATCAAGCATCTGGAAATACTCCATCAGGCCCTCCTGGGCGTAAGACCATCAGGGATAGAATATCCTTGCATTTGCCACGGAGGCTGAAGTACCACCGCCGCTGGCGGCGACGCACTACCAGGAGCTTCGGCCGTCCGTTGAAAGGGAGAGACTTGGCCTCGTGTTGGAGAATTTGAGTCTGTGGCCTTGTGATGCCAGTCTTTTCTAATGCCTGGGACTGGAGGGCTCCCACGCTCGACTCTTGCCTTGTAGTGCCCCCCGACAGCCTCCATGCACCTCCCAACCAGGGAATAGGCTGAAGATGGACTCTCTGAACGGGGTTAAACCCTACCCCGCCACTAAACTGTTTGCTGCCGCAACATAATGGGTTTCTAATGTTTATTCTCTATATGTTTACTCTTTTTAGGTTTGCTCTTTTACAATAAGCATTACTACTCCACACACATAACCCTATCTATACTTTGAGCAGAACGGGCAATGTAGCTATGATTTTTGGGAGTGTGGCCTTGGGGATTACTCTCTACTACTGTCTTCACGCTGTCTGGACTCTGCACTCAAAAATAAAGAATAAAAACAAAACAAAAAAAAACGTAAAGCACAGAAAAAAGTTTACAATCTTCTGATTAATTCAAATTGTTACAGGTGATGAGTTGCACAGCTGTATGACCCTTCGCTATTTTCTCTTACCTCTAGGCTTATTGGCATGAGCAGAACGGATGTTCTGGGTCAACAATCGCAACCGTTCCTCCCGAGCTTCATGAAGACGAAGATACAACTCTCTCCAAGACTCGAACTCCTCTGGATTATCTTTCTTGAAGTCTCTCTGACAGTGATTCATCCAGAGGCGATCCGTATCTTCAGTCAGCACCTGCACAAAAACACAGTCTTTACTAACAATTCAGATATGACAGTTACACATCAAAGTAATTAAACCCAAGTATCTGTATACATGTAACGGTGTCTGTGTCTATGAATGTGTCTTGTAGCGAGTATCCTTGTGCATAAGTGAGTATATATCTGTGTGCTTGTATAACTGTCTGGAGTGTGTCTGGGAGAGTATGTGTGTGTGGGAGCTGCTTGCAGTATGTTGGGTTTATGACAGCACTGCTTGTGGTCTTGATGTTTGCTTTGTGTTTATAGCAAGACAGTGACTTGTGTGTGTGAATGAGGAGCGACTGAGTGTGTGTTTGTGGGTTACCATATTTTGGTGGGGTGCCTATGTATGATGGTGAATGTGGCATGGTGAATGTGGGGGGTTAAATGTGACAAAGTGACTGTGTGTGGCATGAGTGGGACAGTATGACATGGTGACTGTGTGTAGGGTGAGTGTGCAGGGTGCTGACTATGATTGTCAGGGGGTAGATTGTGTGTAGGGAGTCTGTATTTGCTGTCCAGCCACCCCACCCATGGAAGATCTTGGATAGAGCACACATGATTCTACATCATAACGATGTGCATCAGTTCCACAATCATACTATGTGGGTGAGTTTCTGCTATGTCAAAATAAATACTCATTGACACAATCGGAGAGAAAAACTATTTAAAAAAATTATCTTGCTTGTAGACGGAATATCCATACAGATGGCAACTCCTGACGTCCACACGCAAGAGAAAAAGAATAGTACTGTTTTTGAAAAAATACCAATATGACAGATTACAGAAAAAAAACTAAATTATTACACACTCACATGATTATGCTCTTCAATACGATACAGCTGTTCTGGGGTGCATTTCTCTAGGACTGGCTCCAGCACTGAATAAGGGACACCTCCAACTTCATATATAGCTGAAAAGAGAGCCTAGTTTAGGAATGCAACATTTGATACACTAAGACTCGCCACCAAAGGCTAAGGAAGTAAAAAATATATGGGCCATGAGTGGACAGTAAGATTAACTTCCCCTCCTAACTGAACCATGATCTTCTCGACTTCAATATAAGACAAATTCACTTACAAATATCTCCTCAACCAATGAGGATGCACAGAACCTGTTAACACATTTCAACACCCCCATTCCTTTGGATTTAAAGGGATACTTGCCGATCTTATTCTAAATCTGCTGATATTTTTGAAATCAGTTTAATTATTATTCATTGATGTTGAATGGGTATATAAAAGCTAATGAGGACTTCCTTTTTGGAGAAAAGTGCCAAAGCTGGACCTGTAACAGAATTTGAGAATTTTACCAGTTCAGCTATTTTGGCCTGGGAATAGCAAGTCCATGGCTTTATTAACGGTTATCCCACTGATTGCTGACACTGTATGCTTACAGCCATCATTTAAAAATAAATCAATCAATAATTATGTTTTAAATATGTTGAATCAACTGAAAATTAGCTTGCCATCCCAATGGCAAAATACTAGAACATCAAGTTTACATTTACAACAGTTTGGTTAGATTAGATGGACACCTATAAATAAAATATTTATAGGTGGATAGTTTTAAATGGATTCGCGTAAAAAATATCCAATTGATAGGTCAGATTTAAAGCAATTTTATCACATACAACATAATGCAGGTTTTGCAAAGAAGCCCAGGGTGGCATGTCCTGGTAAAAAATGACTATTCTGTAGTTTGTTTTATAACCTATTTTGATTGCATAGGACTTTTAACGAAAATTCAATACAGTCAATTTGAGGGGGTTTTGTTTCACGATAAAGAGACTACTATTATGAAAAACACAAAATGACAAGGTGCAAAGCGCCCATGCCCTGATATTAGTTGTGCCCATCACAAATCTGGTTCTAATGAAATTCCAGTAACTATCACTACTTACAGTCTATGTTGTTGGCTAGGACACGGATGCACTGCTGGTAGAGTGACATCATTTTAGGCAGGTAGGCAGTTTTCGATCCAGAGTACACTTGCATTTTGGAGTTGAATCTCTTCCCAGTGAATCCAGAGGCCTCATCATCATCCTGGACAGAAAGCGCTGTAGAATAGAATGAAAAATAAAAGCGTTGGTACAGTTGTATCCACATATGTATCCCAAATACATACAAAAGTATCTAAACACACATTTTCTTTTCAATACTCACCTTTCCGCTTAGTGGGTGCATATACTACAGGTTCAATAGAAGGAAGAGGACGATAATTTGGCTGTATGAGAGGCAATGCTATATCAGGTAATACAGGAACTTGGTCAATCTGCAGAGAATGAGAAGAAGTACCTTACAATTCATGGTAATAAAACTCTGATAAAAAAAAGCTGAAAAAAGCTGAACTAGTCCAAGTCCCTCAAAATAAATGCTAACATTTTTATCATAAACTTAAACCTTTAACAAGTTATATGGTATCATGCATCTAAAACAATCAACAACTGAATATAGTCCTATACATATTTAAAGAAACTCTGCTATTGATTTTTGTTTACTTTTAACATAATTGTGAATTTCCACATATGTAGTGTGGCACATCCAGATGTTCTCATAAATAAAATGTGTAGGGGGAGCCTTGTGATTTCAATTAATCAAAATCAGAGTCAATGAATTCCTCTGAAACAATTTATCAGTGTTGTTTACATCAAATTAACATAACTTGTGCTATCTTATACATCCAACTTCTACTGAATTGAAAGTCTTTTTGGGCAACAAGTCCTTAAAAGACCACTATAGGCACCCAGACCACTTCAGCTCAATGAAGTGGTCTGGGTGCCAGGTCCCTCTAGTTTTAACCCTGCAGCTGAAAACATAGCAGTTTAAGAGAAACTGCTATGTTTCACTGAGGGTTAATCCAGCCACTAGAGGCACTTCCGCAATTTTCACTGTGAAAATCTGACGTCATTGAGTAATGCTTTCCTATGGGCGGTTTGAATGCGCGTGCGAGCTCTTGCGGCACATGCTCATTAGCTGCTGACGTCGGCAGGAGGAGGAGAGAGCCCCAGCGCCGAGGGAGCCCGGCACTGGAGAAAGGTAGTTAGCTGAAGGGGGTTTTAACACCTTCAGCCCAGCGGAAGGGGGGAACTAAGGACTACATAGTGCCAGGAAAACGAGTCTGTTTTCCTGGCACTATAGTGGTCATTTAAGTACCAGATACCATTTGCCTATTAGAGACAAAATCCTTGTTAATGAATAGAGTCCAAGAAAGAAAGCGATATATGTGCTTTATATCTCTAACTTATTGGAAAATAAATGCATGCAATAATTATTGGTGTTTGTACTTGCAGGTTTATTCTATTGCACACAGAGAATGTATTGATTTATATTAAAAATATATATTCTAGGCCACAGACTGGCAAATGTGTGGAGCATTCAGGAGACAAAGAGACCTCTTTAGCAGCCAGACAGACTTTTTGAAGAGAAAGGCAAGATATACATGCTCCATAGAACAAAATAAATTATCACTAATGAAGCTTCACACAGAATAAAATATAAAAATCCCACACAAAATAATTGCATGTCTGACCTTGTTGCTTGTGACTGGCTTTTGAGAGGTCTTGTCCTTCTTGGCTACAGCTGGCTCGGATTTAGGTTTAGAGACGCCCTTGCTCGTGCTCTCTGCTCGGCTCTCACTTGGCTTCTTGCTGCTCTTGTTTGGTGTGGTGGCTGAGGGCTTCACTACTGGTTTCTTCTTCTTTTTCTGAGGTTGGTCATAACTCAAATATGATTCAAAAGACATTTGTGGCTTTTCAAATTCATCTTCCAAGTCGTGATCTGTGCTTGGCAGAGAGATCTTTATGGATTTCTTTTCCTGCGGTACCTGCTCAACAGTTTTAGATTTAACCTTGTTCTTATCTATCTTTTCTCTGCCTGAATAATCTTCATCTCTTTCCATTAATTTCTTAGATTTTTCTACAGGTTGTATATCCACAGACAACTTTGGTTTCTCAGATTTTGATTTGTCTAGGTGTTTTTGCTTTTTAACTTCCATTTGATCATCACCCTGACTTCTGGACCCACTATGTTTACTCTTCTCCTTCTTACCAGACTGCTCTCTACTTTCATGAGTCAATTTATCTCTGCTGCTTCCTGCAAGGGATGAATGGTCTCGATGTGCCTCCTTTGAAGAGGATTTCTCTTTCTTCCTCTCTGGTTCTACATTCTTGGCTTCTTGTTGGTGCTTATCTCTATGTGATGATTTTTGTTGTTTTCCTGGTTTGTGATGTGTTTTCTCTCTGTATAAATTTACAGGACTATGTGAAGGTTCTGGGGAGTAGTTCTGCCCATCATCTGATTCCTCCTGCTCAGAAAACCTTTGACAACTACCCTCTTCCTTCCTGAAATTGCTATGGGAACCACTCATTGTCCTATGCCTTTCGTCCCTTTGGTGATATAACTGAAGTTCTTCTTCTTTTTCAATTTCTTCTTCGTCATAATCCTCTCTTGGAGATGGAGACGGAGATCTTGGCCGCTTCCTGGCACTGCATTTGCTGGACTCTCGTTCTTCGGGTTCTGCCGCTCTACACAGAATTTAAGTTTTTTTTAAAAGAACAACATTTTAAATATTGCATAATTTGAGTAGATCTTCTCAGTATGAAAAAAATAACAACCAAAAATTTAACTTAAAGGCACGCACAAAAGTAGCAGCAATTCAAACTCTGAAAATAATACTTAAAATAACTACATCTTCACAAGATTCTAATGCATCCAATAGTAAGCAAATACAAACAGACAATAGTGCAGACTGCAAAAATCAATACAATTTATGTATATTATAGAGGTGTAAATAGGCAAACTGCCTACTCAAAATATCCAGAGCACAACTTTGCTCTACATAGTGCATGTCTGGAAGCAAACTGGTAAAACTGGAACAGTTTTCATCTCAGAAAGATGAATGTGTGGATGAAAGCTCTTAGATGGATTATCTGTCTGCATATGTTGAATTTTTGGGGGTAAATTGCAATCTTTTAGTGAGATGCTGTTTTTATGTTGGCCATTATTTTTATTATTATGCATTATACAATGCAATCCATAACAAGGTAAACACTTTAAAATATTTGTAGCCTCACCTTGGAACATCTTGTGGGACAAGTTTCTTCCACTGAGCAACCAAGTTCTTTGCAAAATCCCCAACTATTTCGTGCTTCCGTAGACCGTTCACTGTCTTGCCAACCCCAGTCTCCTACATAATGAAATAGTGAGTCTTGGTTACAGAAATCATTTTTTTTTTTTTAAATAATGTAAACCTCAAGTCTGTTAATAAAAGCAGTAGATTATGAAAGCAATTTCTGCACAGGAACAGAAGAACATAGATGACATGTCAGACAAGATGCACAAAGCCCTAACAGGATCTGGCCTGATGTGATTAGTTAGAATCATGCAGTACGCAGAGAATGAATACTTGGTTAAGTCTAACTTAAATGACCACAGTCTGTGACACGAAAATCAAATTTGGTCCATGACACAGATAAATTAAAGTGCCCAGCCCTCTGTGTTTACAGTGCTCCAGGCACCAACACTGCAGTAAAAGCTCAAATGAGAAGTATCTTGTATTGCTGGAAAATATCTCCATGTAGTATATTTAGTGTAAAGAAAACAGCTGTGGGAGGGCAAGTGTATATTTTCCCCATCGCACAAATCTTACCACCAAGATATCAACAGTAATTGGCAGTTCAGCAAGTCTCTTCAGGGTCTTCTGAAGCTGTAGAAAAGACAAAAAAAAAAAAAAACACACAAAAAAACTATTATGCAAAGTCATGTATATTTGGAAAAACACAAACAGTGTGGTCAAGCAGTTTTGCATATGTCAATAAAATGCAAAAGTAGGTTCAAGTTGTGCAGTGATAACGTTATTAAAAGTTTCAAATGATGAAAACAAGGCGTCAAATTCTGTGAAACTCTAGGAAGCGCCTTGAGTGGCTATCTTGTAGACCACAACTAGAGGCAAACTTAGTACTGCAATGTTTTACATTGCAGAACTAAGGGGGCCAGGGACAGTGCACACAGACCACTTCAATGAGATGAAGTGGTCTAGCTGCCTATAGTGTCCCTTTGAACTCTGTATTGGAAGCATTTCATGGTGTAAAGGCGTCGTGACACGTCAAATCACTGAAGTGAACCCCTTAGGGCATATGATGGCTTAACTTATATACTGTATTTAAATTTATTTTTTGCATGTGCTTTAGCAAAAAAATAAAAATGTTATGCAGAATCCTGTACTTGTAGTATTGCAACAAGTATAACAAGTGTTGTACTTGTGGTAATACTTGTCTTTTTTAAAATTTAGATTAGTAATTTATTTATTTATTTTAACTGAAATTTACTGTGGAAGAATTCCAAGCACACACAGTAATGAATTTCAATCCAGAGAGCCCCTGCAAAAGTATCTCTCATTCAAATATTGCATTGTATCACCTCAATGCAAACATGAAAAGCCTTTGTTGTGTATATTATAACAGATAAACTTTAACTTAATTACATTACGATTAAATCTTTTCTGACACCCAAATACCTATTCGGTATACAGAAAAAAAAATTCTTGTTACACTGAAAATTTCAATAACTGTCTAATATATGAACCATTGTGAAACCATCAGGTCGATTTACTGAAGCCTATCGTGATGATCAAACATTCCATAGAGGTCCATCAATCTACTTCCCGGTTTGTTTAGCTGAGTGTAGCTAAAATCAAGAGGCAACAATTTCTCAGAGCACCTGCCTTGTAAAGACTTCTTACCGAGATGCATTGAAAAATCTGTGATTAAACAGTCACAAAAAAACCTGGGCGGGTTTACAAAGGCTTCAAAGCACCAGATTTGCAGATTTTGATGAAACCCCAATTAACAAAATGCATAATTAAAAGGTGTGTATGTTGTCATTTGAAGTACATCTACTGGACATTGATATTTTTTTTTTTTAGGATTAGGCCAGTGGTGAGATTCATGGTTATGGCAATAATTTATTTTCCATATGTAATCATACGCAAGACACAGTATAGAACCAAATAAACAATAGTTACACAACATATTTGCATGAGAGAATTATAAATGCAAAATAATGTTCCCCATTAAAATTCACTTACAATATTACTTAAAGGGACACTCCAGATCCTCACAAGGCCTAGATTTTGAAAGAATGTGGCACTTTCATAAATTAACCTTGTTACACCCACTGGGTGTCAATCAGACAACCAACTGTTACTTCCAAGTAGTTTAGCTCAGTGAAGCTAAACTCAAAAGCAGGCCATTTCCCAGAGCACCTGTCCTGCATTGGGAAGTCTCCAATTGGACAGCCAGTGAAAGTCTGGGTTAGATGGGGAGGACTTGCAAATGCTTCAGACAAGAGAATTGCTGCTTTTGCAATCTGTTTTAGATATACCTCAAATAGAAAAGTGTAAAATTAAATGCATGCGAGTTTTCATTGGGGTCTTTTAAGTGGAGAGTTCCTTTAACAGCATTTGTTAAACCTGTATTTTTAGATGAGATATTGAGTGTCTTTGTTACCAAATAGGAAATTAATTTACAGCTGAATTCATGTGTTTTAAAAGGGTAAAACACTATATAAAGCCTTCACATGGTATAACCACACATAGCTATTTCACCTAAATTAAACCTACATACCCAGCTGGGCATGTACATTTAGTCAACACTACCTAAAAGTAGTTAAAGGTACATGAAATATTCCATGGTGCTGTACGTTTGAAAACTTTTTATAGCTTTTTATTCCCTTAGTTAATTGCAAGAATCCTTCAGAATTTTTGTGTGAGGATTTTTTTTAAAGTTACGCTGCTATGCTGCAAAAACCAGACCAGAATGGGACTAAATTCAATCTGGATTTCAGCTGAGCCAACTCTGCCGGACTTCTGAAATGCGGACTGAATTAATTTAACACGGGCTGTAAACTATCTGCCTGTTGGCAGCACTAGCAGCAAGCGGGCAAATAGTTAAAAGCTCTCAGCAGCACTTGCTAGCCAGCCGCCACATTATAAAAGTAAAAAAAAAAAAATTAAATAAAAAACCAGAAACAAATAATTATATGTAAATAAGGTCAGGGCATTTATTTACTTAGCATCAAAAATTAGCAACTAGGCAGCCACAGATGCCCTATCACTAGAAAAGGTCTTATCCCATGGGAAGAGCGAATGTGAACTAATTAGGGGGGGGCAATGGAGGGAGGAGAAGGGGTATAGTCTGGGGGACATGGGTGAGAGCCAGGGGAAGGACCCTATTGACAAGATTCATAAAATAGGCAAGGGGGGGAACTGGCCCCCATCCATGCCTGCTGGTGGGGCCCTAATATTTATAAAAAATGGAGAGGAAAGTTATTTCTCTTCACCAATATCATAGTAAGACATGCTGCCAGGCTCCATGTACCCTCACTGGGGAGCCCAGTGCTAACAATATAGAGGGGACACCCAGTGCCCACACCCCTAGATAACACCGATGCCTGCAGAGTGTAGGCCCTAATTAATTATAAAATGAATTCCCATAATTCCCAACGCCACAAATCATTTTTTAATTTTTTTTTTAAAATGCCACCAGAAAAATTTTAAAAAAACACTGCAACAAAAATAATCCATCTTCAGCCATGGAAGAATGATAGCTATCACAAAGCATAGTAAAATATACCAGGCTTTGCAATATGACCAAGAATGCTGATTGATACCTAGTAAACAAATTCAGAACACTCTTGGTAATAGTGCAAAGCATTGGAAATTTTCACACACATTGTGATAGCGAAGGATTTTTTTGCTAGTGCTGCTAGCGGGCAAACCGTTATTCAAATGATCAATTCACTTGCAAAAAAACATGTGAATGATAATTTTGCAGACATTCATCCTGCCCGATGCATTGCGTTTATCGGCTGCCATGCAGTCGTTGATAAATCTCAGGTTACATTGTTGTGAATTGTTTCGGCGGATAGTCATTGATTTTCCAAACGAGTGTTACAGAACCGCAACGACCAAATCCTGACTGCATTTGGCTTAAATGGATTGCCAATGCAGTCGGAATTTTTTTTTTTTCTTTCCTCATGGAATTTGGCACAAAATCCAGTGTTTAGTGAATAACCCTGTAAGAAAAATCCTAGCAGGGTTATTTACTAAAGTGAGAATTGTTGGGTATTCAATGTGAATTTAAAAATTTAGGCTAAATTTGAGAAATTCTCTAAGTCTATTCTGTTTCTAGTTTGGCTATTCTGGCATTCAAATTTACTTTGAATTCCTGGTCTCACTTTATGGAGGTAAAAATCTCACTTTACCGAACAAATCTACAGAAATATTATGGCTCTTTAATAATGTATTTTATATACAATTCCTCACACGCTCTGAAAAAATAAAAAGAAGAAAATCCCTGAACTAAGCTTTTGGGTGGAATAGCCTGAAGTGAGTATTAAGTGTAAAGAATAAGTTACGTTTAACCATTAGGTGGGCCCTTCATTAAGAATTGTGTCTGCCACTGCCCTGCCCTTTAAATATACGGATAACAGGGTTGGCAGTAATTTAACTCAAGAAACATCTATCCTTCAATATACAGGGTTATTTTAAAATATTAGGCCATATTTATTCAATTGGAAAGATGGTCAAAGCCAGCTGTGTTTTAACTTTTGCGCTGTTGGACAGAAATTTTAAAAAATAATTTAGTATTTCCCAATGATAAATACACACCTGGTAATATTTCAGGTTTTGTTTTTTTACTTTCGTGAATGTCTAAGCTTATTTGAGCCTTCATCTCTTGTCTGTTAATATTCTGCATGTCAATTTATCGTTTTCAAATATCCCATTCTATAACCGTAAAACGCTGCTGAATATTTTAGCGCTATATAAATGTAAATAATATCAATTAAAAGATATCCAGCGCCATTTTTTTAAAGTTATCTGCTGATTACATACAGTTAGCGTTTAATCATTAAATATCCCATAATTTAGAATGTGTAAGCATTGCTTAATCTGGAGATAGAAGCCCTACTGCAAACAAACACAGCATACCTCAGATTTATAAAAACACTACAAACATATCAATTTATACTCTGAGTAGGTTATTGTTGAAGGAGATATCATGGGAAGGTCCCCATTCTAACCAAAGCACCCTGGAGAAAATAAATCAAGAACTAGGGCAGTTGAAATCAATGATTTACGCACATGAATCCTCACACTAGCTAATTTGACTATAATGTTTTTCATTTTAAAGGGACACTATAGTCACCAAAACAACTTTAGCTTAAAGGACCACTATAGTGCCAGGAAAACATACCTCAGGGACCCCCTCCCGCCCAGCTCTGGAAGGGGGAAAGGGGTAAAAACTTACCTTTTTCCAGCGCTGGGAGGAGAGCTCTCCTTCTCTCCTCCTCCGTTCCTCCTCCTGGGCTGAATGCGCACGAGCGGCAAGAGCTGCGCGCGCATTCAGCCGGTCTCATAGGAAAGCATTTACAATGCTTTCCTATGGACGCTGGCGTGCTCTCACTGTGATTTTCACAGTGAGAAGCACGCAAGCGCCTCTAGTGGCTGTCAATGAGACAGCCACTAGAGGAATAGGGGGAAGGTTTAACGCATTCATAATTATAGCAGTTTCTCTGAAACTGCTATTATTATGAAAAAATGGGTTAACCCTAGAAGGACCTGGCACCCAGACCACTTCATTAAGCTGAAGTGGTCTGGGTGCCTAGAGTGGTCCTTTAACAAAGCTGTTTTGGTGTATAGATCATATCCCTGCAGTTTCACTGCTCAATTATCTGCCACTTTGTTTATGAACCCTAGTCACACCTCCCTGCATGTGACTTGCATAGCCTTCCTAAACACTTCCTGTAAAGATCCATCGAAATGTTATCCTTCCTTTATTGCAAGTTCTGTTTAATTTAGATTTTCTTATCCCCTACTAGGTTAATAGCTTGCTAGACCCTGCAAGAGCCTCCTGTATGTGATTAAAGTTAAATTTACAGAGAAAGAGATACAATTGTTTATGGAAAATTACATCTGATTGAAAGTAAAACCAGTCTCCATCTTCCGACATCAGCGCTAAATGCGCATGCGCGGCAAGAGCCGCGCGCATTCAATGCTTTCCTATGGATGTCAGCGTCTTCTCACTGTGAGAAGCGCCTCTAGCGGCTGTCAAAGAGACAGCCACTAGAGGCTGGATTAACCCTAATGTAAACATAGCAGTTACAGCAGCATGGTTAACACTAGATGGACCTGGCACCCAGACCACTTCATTGAGCTAAAGTTGTTTAGTTGACTACAGTGTCCCTTTAAACTGAATATGTTCAAATGCATAAAATGGTTTTACAACAGAGAGATATCTTCAGAGACATCATGAAAATATACAAAAGATAGACATTACAGGGAGTTTAGCATTGATGTAAGCACAGGAAAGTTTTATGGCTTTCAATCTACCAGAGATTGTGCAATATTTATGACTACAGCATAGAAAACAAACGTAAATGCACAGTAATCTGTGTTTAATCTCTACATAATAAAAGCATACACTGCCTTTCAATAAGGAACATGCAAATGTTTGCACTTTAAGGGGACAGGGATATACAGGCCCAATTTCTCCAACACCAAGAATGCATTTTTAACATATCAATAACAAGGCTCAATTTCTTTTGTCTAGATTGGAAGATAACTCTGGCAAATGCTAATTTTCCATACATCATTGAACGACAATTATAATAGATAAGGTTTTGTTTAACATGCTAAAACAGTCACTTAATGACATGTTTTGCATTTTTTTTTCTCTTGCAAAAAATGTACGTACATTTAAATACCTTTTCACAAAATTCCATGTTTCCAAGGTGAAGATAGAAACTAGTTCCAATGAAAGTAACAGTTCTCATGTAACCCACCATGGGTTTATCTGAATATGGGAAGCCTACACCTGCTTGATTTCCCCCCTCACAAAACTGATATTAATGAAATTAAGCTGATTCACAAATGAACATAAGCTGCAAGATTCTAACCAATCACAAGCTGTAAGCATGCCAGGAGTGTCCCTTCAGGTGACCTGGAAAACACTATCTTAAGAATTCATGTAACACTTGGGTGCCACATTGTATCCCATATTTGTTGATTGGTTTTACAGATCGTTAATGGATTATCTTCTCTCTCTAGCAATCAAGATGAGCGCTAAACACTATTGCCAATAGACACAATATGCACCATTGGAACAAGGTTTTAGAAGTTTGTTCCAGTATAGTTCGATAAGTTGAATTACAATGATCTACATATCACAGGCCAAAACTGCAAAACAGACAGTTTTACCCAAAAGCAGAGTGATCGATACGATAGTACTCGATTGGGATCAGACAAAACTTCCACCAGATGGGAGTTGGGGCAGAATTTCTAAAGTAGTATTTGGACTGCAGCCACAGATCGGTAGGTGCATATGAAAGTATTGCATTCTAGAATGCAGTGTATTCCTCGATACATCCAAAACAGAACGTGTATGAATTAAAGTTCCATACACACCAAGTCCCATATTGCTGCAATACACAGATACTCTTATAGCAGATCCACTTTCCCTGGTGTCAGACGCTATACATAACCCCTTGATACCATAGTAAGACATGCTGCCAGGCTCCACGTACCCTCACTATCTACCCAACACATTGCGGCTCGGGGGTATCATTTCCATTGTAACCTCCCAATCTTATTTCCCCTGCCCATAGCGCACCGTGTAAAAGCACGCTTAACGATATAATCATGTACATATCTACCTTTTTGGGCTCTGCATTGAGAGAGAGCCGCGATTGCAGCTTCCCTACAACTTCTAGCACGGAGTCCGCCATCTTTACAACTGGCACCTGAAACCGGAAGCTCTCATGTTGCATTTTTGCTGCAGCGCAGGCCACCATGTTTTTTCCGGGAGCGCGCAACCGGATGTGTATGCTTCTTGCGTGTACTGTGAGGAATGGAGTTTACCAGAGGCCGCCATGATTATTGCTGGCAAGTCATCACGTGACCCCGCCCATCACGACGTCGGCTGACATGCGCATTAACTAGTCCCTGCACCGCGTACACCTCTACAACTAGTTAAATCCAGGGCTGCGAACTTGTCTCTCCGCTGAGCCCGAACAGCTCGTTACAGATGACAGCATAGTTCAGTTATTACTGTAAAGTCATCAATCCATGTTTTGGGGCAAGGATTCTGAACAAGAACGGAGACGCTAAAACTAAGTCTCCTTTCTAGGAGAAGAGGTGCACATTTAAAGTTAAGAGAGCACAGTGTGCCAATATCACCATACAAGTCGGTGACTGAGAAGTTTCAGCTTGCAGGTTACTACACCCGTGCAGTGCTATCAGAGTATAGTTATTTTATGACAAGACACATTTATGCTTTAACTTCAAACTTCTGGAATAAAAGAATCATGACAGGTCACACCTCGTGTCCTTAAGGGGTTAAAGACTAGTGTGCAGCAGCCGCTTGATAACACCATTCTCATTCAATCTTCCAAGAATAGTGGTACATGGGTTAAGCTCAGAAGCTCTACTGTATTCACAGGGGGAAGAATAAAGAAAAGGCTATAGGGAACAGCCAAAACAATTACGGTCTCACCAAGGACCGACCATCTGAGCAGGGTGTGTTACCATGTCATGCACACTATAATTATTCTTCACTAACCTATATTTAGTAGTTGTTTTGGAGTCTCATATGGAGTAGCTTAAATCAAGATGCTTTATTTCAGCAATATGATGTCAACAGCTTTGAATAATTTATATCAGTGATTAAAAGGACCACTATAGTGCCAGGAAGACACTTGTTTTCCTGGCACTATAGTGCCCCCACCATCAATGAAACAGCCACTAGAGGCTTTGGGGAAGGATTAACCCATTTATAATCATAGCAGTTTCTCTGAAACTGCTATGTTTATAAAAATGGTTAACCTTAGCTGGACCAGGCACCCAGACCACTTCATTAAGTGGTCCTTTAAAGAATATATCTGTCCAGCTATACTTTTTCCCTCTCTACAGTCAGTCAATGATGCAGCACATACACAAAATACATTGCATTTGATTTCCTATACTGTACTACTAGTGAACTACATCTGGCGAGCCAAAAGTTGCCTAACTTACAAATACAGTAGTCATTCATCTTCATAGGTTGAGAGTTGGTTGAACAGGTCAGTAAGCCATACTACTGACTTTAGTACTTTTAGCTCATCTTTGGGATAAAGCTATACCCAGTAGTGAACATACATGCGCAGGTTTGTCTCCATACATGTGAAAAGGTCAAGACAGCATAGTAACTTTGGCAAATACATGTTTACAAATTTTAAGTTGCAATTAAAAAAAAAACAAAAGATGCAGTAAAGTTTTATCAGAAATTTTTATTGAGTTTTGAAGACAGAAGCAGCTCACTTTCCAGGGAGTATGATTCCATCGTACTGTGAGAAAGAAAAGAGAATTCAGAATTAACACTTTATTGAAAACATTGAACTGTAGAGTTAACCTGGTGTGTGTAGCTTATAGTGTATTAAAAAAAAAAAACACACATTTAGATTTAATGGTGTTTCAAGACAACTTAAAACAGTGTTATATTGTCATCAGCAGCTGCATTTCTGTATCCTCATTTGTCAGCTGATACATACAGAAAGGACTTTGAGAGTATCCATGCATGTGGTGTAATCCCCTCCACAATATACAATTGCAAAGTAGAACAGGATCTAAACTTCTGAATGTGTAACCAATATTTTGGTGCTTTAAGGTTACTTCAAACACCAAGACCACTCAAGTTATTTGAAGTGGTCATGTTTGAGTGCCATTTTATAGAGAAACTGCAGTTATAAAGTTAAACCTCTGTTGCCTTTGGCAGCTTCAACGGGTGTTAACCAAGCCGTTTATTTTGTGCATATGCAGAGTAGCATTTGTTGACAGACTCAACTGATGCTCACCCAATGAATGGCATCTTGCTTCTGCAGCTCTGCAAAAGCCAGATTTTTGTCAGCCATAGAGGGCACCTGGTGGAGACTCTGGTAAGAGGGTAAAGTAATATTTTTGCCCAGTTACCAGGAAATGAGGCCAGGCTACTCTTAGCCCTGGCATCACAACCTTTACAGCAAGTGGTAGCTATGATGCCTAGCAGTAACCCTTTAAATACACATCTCCTTGATGGACTTTAGTCCTCTGGCCCTCATTAGGATTGTAGAGAAGGATTCCAGTCTAGCACTCCTACAAATTTTGATGCGGTGATAGTGTTCCCTCACAAGAACTAAGGGATAATTAGAGCAGTGTTAAAACACATTTACCTGTGCAGCAAACATTGGCACTACTATCTTCAAAATGGTTTAGCTTAACAGTTAGCCATTGCATTGTGACAATTCCTCATAGTCTGCTCTGAGTGGAAAGGTACTGAAAAAGCAAACTACCATTACTGCAGTCTGAACAGGATGTTCCACCTTTGTGTACCATGAGTGTAGTAAGAAGGCAAGTATTCCATCACTGATTATTACATGCTAAATGAAGCAGATTGTAGCAAATGCCAGTGTACTAGAGATCTATATTCTTAGGAAAACAAAAAGTAATTTTGACTGATCAAAAAACCCTTAATATTTGCATGCCAATAAAGTGACAACTGTGGCAGAACTACAGAGACTGCATCAATACATTCTTTAGCTAGCAAGACTAGAAACTACAGTACATACAACTTACTTGCTGCATGCCACTCTTTATTCTAGCAGGTAGTGAACCAGCCATGGCCACCCCATGATTCTAGTAACAATTGTAATATCAGAACACATCCATCACTGAAAGCTTGGTTGGCCCCCCAGATAGAGGCCATTAAACCAAATATACATATTTGGCATTCACACCTGTCAAATCTGACTAGAAGGCTAACCTGTAGCTTACAGTATATTCACTTAGGTCTGTAGAGTTAGAGAATGATATTCTATGCCTGATCCTCAAAACACTTATACACATGCCACACGTGAAGTGGCAGTTAATGTAATTCTTCTGAAGAATGACATTTGGCACACAAATTCAGTCTATTAGGTCAGGAAACAATACTGTTACATTAACATGCGTGTGCCATAAAAACAAATCTGTAAGCGGTCCTAGATAGCTTTTAACAAGTCTAGTAAAATACATGTAAAACCCATCATAATTTCAAATAATGCAGTAGTCCCCTATGACCGTGACCTACCACTGTTAGCAACATGGCAAATATAACCAAAGTAGTAAAAAAACTAAATTGATATCTGCACCAATTCAGCAAGTTTAAGATAAAATAACTTAATCTACACATAGTATGGGCAATATCACTTTACACCTATGCACATTCCTTAGGAGAGTCTACAAGATCATGACTTTGTTGCTATTCCACTAAGCAAAGTCCACCTTGACACCTTTAAACAATGTCCCTGCAATATGCAAAGTAGGGTACTAGAAAAGTCTGCCCTTCAATACAAACTTTAGTCTGTTTGTGATGTCTGAAGGGTGCCTAAATTTTGATCAAAGGATATAATACTTGAACTGCACAGTCCACTTTATCAACTGGCAAGTATCCCAGATTTCACATTCAATGCACCCTCATGACTCCCCATTAGGCTCATCTTACTAGACTCAATGAATGTTGGAACATTTCATTTAATCTTAGTCACTCCATTGTAGGATTCTTTATGGAGTATATTAGCATAGATAGTGTGCAACTTCCTTTAATTTTCAATGCCATCTTAAAGGAACACTGATCACCATAACATCGAAAAAGTTATGGTGCCAGGAGGCCACTGGGTGCTTTTATTTTCAATAGTTATATGGTTTTAGTATGGTTTAGCCACAAAGTGAGCCTCCAATGCTGATCTCAACTAACAGCATCTGGTTTTGGAAGTCTCCGGTATGCTGCCGAGCAAGGGAACCGCTTATTAGCTGAGAGCGGTCAGCTGCCACCTTCAGCCAGTGACTTACCATTGAGAGCTAGCTTGAAAATAAATGTGCCAGATTTGTCAGCTGACTGCTCAGACAATCAGCAGTGCCCACGCACTTACTGAAATAGAGACTAGTCTGTGGAAGACTGGTGGTCTTGCAAAACTGCAGATCTCTTGTTGGCTGTATTTGCAAACCATTTTACACTAACCCAAACAAGAAAAAAGCCTGCATGTTTCTAATGGGTATATCCAATAACTTAATTTTGGACTAAGTCCAGTTTTGGACCAAGTGTTCTTTAAGAGTACTGTAAAAATCTTACTCCACAGGTTGTGAATGCCCACTTTTCTATGGAAAAATGTTTACCTTTTGCTGAAACCAACGCATTGCCTCCTCTTTGCCAATTCTGTGCTTTGCGCCAATTGAGCCAGTTTTTCGCTTCTTATCAGCAATGCTGAAACCAGGCCGGCCCAAGACCTGTAAGGTACAAGATGTAAATAATGACCCCTCCAGAGATTCAATGTTTAAAAAACACACACCAAAACCCTTTTAGAAACATTTACATCTCACATTGAACAAGATACTGAAAACTTCAGAAAATTGTTAAAGTGTAACAGTGCATTACTGAGCACTCATTCCTGGGTGAATTTGTCAAAAAAATCCCACAAGGATTAACTTTCACACATCTGTTGTCCCTTAGTGTACCAGTATTTATAAAAAAAAAAGTTCACTAGGCTGTTTATAACCGGATGGCAGCCATAGTATAGTTATGTTGTGTAGTTGCAATCCTATGATTGTATAAGTATTAAGTCAATACTCCAGAATCTCTGGGTCAGCAGGACAATAGTATCAGTCTTCAGACTAGATATGCCTTTAATGTAGCTTTTTGTCCTAGTGTGAGTGGTCTGACTGCAGCTGCAAACAGATTCACCAAGCAAGTTTACTTAATTTATTTTTTTGCCATTTTAATACTTAAATATACAATAGGCTAAAGGTTTAACATAAACCCTTATGAGTGCCATGCCCTGATCTGTTATTTTAAGTGTATACTAAGAATTTAATGAATGCACAGTTCAGTTATGGCAGTCAAGTCATTGCAAAAATAAAAATAAAAAACACAGACATGTTTCAGATTAGTGCCAGATACAGCAATGTGGCATACTAAGATTCCATTTTAGAAAAAAATGGTTGGGGGGGATCTAGCCCCTCTCTCCCCCCAATAGAGACCATAAACCTACAGCTCAATGTAGTGGCTACCACACTTAGTTTGAGCATGCTAGTGTTAACAATGGAGCAGTTTAGGAGAGAACCCTGCTGTTAAAGTCTGACCTAGCCTGTGCCCGGTCATTCATTAAACTAATTGGACCAAAAAAACCCAGTTTGTCTTCCAGATCAAGACATTTGATGTCACCAGAATGCAAAGCATGTTACTCACACACTTATTAGCAGTTATTCTGTGTGTTAAACAGAAATGCTTAGAGTAACCATTTAAAACTATAGAAGTGTTACCAGTGCACACCAATCTGTTTATTGAGGCTAGAAAAATACTGAAAAGTTTGATAAACAGTGCAACATACCACATAGAAATCCAATCCATAGATTCCAATGCTTGGGTCATATTTAATTCCCAGATCAATGTGTTCCTGGATTCCAAACCCAAAGTTTCCGGTATCAGAGAAGTTATTCTTCCTCAATTCGTATTCTCTGACCTGGTAATGGTAATGTCATGTTATTTTCATTGCAGTTAAAATAATAACTTTATTTCTCTAAATGTTAAGTCAGGGTTGAGAATTTTTTTAACATTAAGTGTTCAGTGTACTCTATTGACTTTTAAGGAATGAAGGACTTCACATAATGTGGTCACACATTAAGGATTGCCAATACAAATGCATCTGTAGCATGGGCACTCTAATGAACAAGTATCCACCTACTAGGGTTCAAATTCAGTCCTTAAAGCACACAATTTGGAATTTGGGTCTGCCAAGTTACACCCAAGCACTTGAGTAGAGGGAAGGGAGTCAATTTGTTTTCAACTTCATGATTAGGTTGAGACAAGACAGGGAGACAAGGAATACAGTAACCATTTCAGCGCACTGAAATTCTTATGGTGCTCTGCTAGTTTCCAGGCTTACTTCCTTAGAAATATATTATGTAGTAAGAAAGCAGGGACATTATCCTATAGCCCTAACCGTTTAAATAGCCAACAGTAATGTTTAGACTTCTAGGATGCAAAGGCAGCTTTATCAATGGTGCAATGTACTCTATAAGATAGCAAGGCCAGTCACATTTTACCATAACTACACTTTGATAGTAGGATGAAGTTACAAGAACATTTTGCCTAAAGATGAATAAGTTGCCAAGTAAGGCATAATGACAGTTTACAAACCCCCACATATAGCACCAGGAGTTTGGCATAATTCTACAATAATCATTTTATAAAACGTTTCACACCAACCTCTGGCGAACCAAAGTCCTTTCAGTCCAAGAAAAGTTAATAACTTGGTTAGCATACAAACTTGACACCATTAGTTGGCTGAGAGGATACAGAGAGGGTATACGCCAATGCATAAGAATCGACTGCTTTTAAAGGAACACTAGGCACCCAGACCACGTCAACTCATTAAAGCGCTTAGTCCCAGGTGACCTTAACTGTACAAAGGTAATTATTGAAGTATAATAAACTTCAATAATTACCTGTAAGGGTTAACTCCACCTCAAGGAGTTATCTACTGGACACTAGAGGGACTTCTGGGTCGTTATGTGATATTTGGTCACTTGATGCTGACATGCATACATCTAGCATCTTGTAAAGCACTATAGGAAAGTCTTATAAGCAAACACGACCACTGCCCTGCATGAGCATTAGGTCTCCAAGCAGGGTAGTGTTGGCAGAGCTAGAGCAAGCACCAGGGACATTAGCACTTGACTTAGATAAGTGACCAGAGTTAACCCTTTCTGTACCATTAGATGCAATGCCAAATAGAGTGCCAGATGACTGATATAACTGCTATGAACAACATTCCTGAAGTTTACACTTTGCTCGAACAAACCATTTCTCCGAGTTCAGTACTTTTATACCAAAGTACAGTCTGACAAAGGGCAGCCATTTTGTTCCTACCGAACAGTACCAGAGTTACCAGGCTGCAAACCATCACTCTACCACGTGTATTTTCCATTTTCCCTTTTCCCAACCAGGAGACTGGTAATTGAAGTACCCTAGACTATGGTGACCAATTGCTCCCAGAGTCAGGGAGAGCCCGCATTGGTCTAGACACAGGTGCTCCTGACAATTGACAGACAACAAGTACAATTCCTGTGGAACTATTTTTGGCATCGCCTGTGTGTGGTCGGTCAAAATATTACCCTTGTAGTGATCTGGCTACAGAGCATAGATCTGATCACTATTTGGACAACTTGGGTGCTCAGATCAGGGGTCTCCAGGGATACAACATGTGGGGGCTCTGACCGGTTTTCAGTATGTTTATAAATTATACTGTGTCCAGGAAATAACTGGTTTAAGCAAAGACCCTTATCTCCAAGACAGATTCCTGAGCAGGTTTATGGTGTCAGGAATAGGGAGCCCATGCTAGGGGTCAGGTATATACCCAGGTGACCAGGCTTCATAAAACCAGTTTTTTACTTTATAAAGTCTCGACTGATGTTTGGGTAAGCAGGAGTGCTACAATCACTGAAGCCTTGCGGGAAAGCAGGGGAACAGCGAACAGACAGCCTAGGACTAATTTGAAGACCTGTTAGTAGTTGTGGTCTACTAGCCAGGCCTTAAAAAGTTGGATTCCTCCTGGAGTGTATAGTTTGGATTATAGTGGAAATTGTTTGCCAAGGCTTAACTTTCACTTGCATAGTCTATGGGCAAGATGATATTTTGAGCCCTGCATCAATGCACGTATTCAAAGACAATATTCAGTGAGTTATGGACTGAGGGATGAAATAAAAATATATATTTCTGTAGTGATGAATTATTGCAGTTAAAAAAAGTAATTATTCAAACCGGTATTTGAGAAATACCATTAGCTGATGCTTTGGTGATACAGTCATTTTTCACCATCCACATAGGAACAAACATTTTGTAACTGCCATTTTAAATTACTATCCTTTACTATATTTGTACTCTAATTTCATTATGTTTACATATTGGGCATTTTATCTACATCATGCTTGTGCAACGCAAACTTGTGTCAATACCTTAAGTCCTTTCTCCAGGATCTCCTCAGCTTTGGCTCCACGCACTGTGCAATGAACAGCAATCTTTTCATTCCTCCTGATACCAAAGGATCTGACAGTGTAACGCGCTGTAAAAGGTTATTAAATGTTTGTCACCCACATCACTACATACAACAGAGCAGCAGAGTATGGTGCACATTTTGATTGTGTTTCTTGTAAGCCTTCAGAAACAGTTGTTACATTTGTTACATAAATATGGCAGCTCACCTTTGGAGAAAACAGGAGTCTGACCAGTGAGCTGCTCCAGCACTTTGGCTGCCCGGGTCAGTCTGTCACCACTCTCACCAACACAGATGTTCAGGCAGAGCTTGCGGATCCTCAGCTCACGCATTGGGTTTTCTTTCTCAGATTTATCCTATAGAAAATAGGAAGACAATGTAACTTAATTTGCATGTTAGAGAGATTCATGTTCAATTTCATGTCAAGTCTTCACATGTAATGTGGCAGTCACTGTATGAAGTGTTCAAAACCACAATGGACCACTTTTGTATTATGTAGTTTATTGTATATATATGTATTCCCAGCTTTGCCACAATCAAAAGCACATAATTATGCACTTAGCGGGACATTCGAGGTGAAAGTTACCTATAACATGCAGTGTCCGACTGAAATGTTAATGCATGCAGTATTTACTTAAGCTTCTCATTCATTAAAGGAATACAAACATTTATCACTGACTATATAGTTCTAAAATAACAGTTTACATCACCTGTGAAAAGTTAAGTGATTTTACTCACTATTCTCAGGTGCTGTGCTATCCCATGGCAGCTGGCGCTGTCCCCTTGGCAGAGATCATCAAGCTTTATCTGTCAATCTAATACTTTCCCATAGGAAGACATTGTGAGACTGTTGCGCATGTGCGGCAAAACACTATGCCAATCAGCATCTCTTCAGAACTGTATTGAGTCAATATAGTTCTAGGGGAACGTTCAGCACCTCCATGCAGAGCATGAAGAACCTCATCAGGGATGCAACGACCCAGGATGCATCTCTAGTAGCCAAAGAATGGCCACTAGAGTAGGCAGCAATGTAAATCATGCCATTCCTCTGAAAAGAGTGTTTACATTAAAATGTTTGCAGGGACAGGCTATAGACACCAGAACCCCTACATTAAGCTGTAGTTATTCTGGTGACTAGTGCCCCTTTACATTAGCAGATACAAGAAGATTGTTCACATAAAGCATACTTTTGATAAAGTTGCAGTCATGCTGGTTTACAGTCAACATACAAACACATTTTATCTACCACGGAAGGATATTGGGCTGAGTCAATCCTGCCACGAAATAAACCTGCCAAGCGTTGTACAGATTCTATGGATAATGCATTAACCCACTGAGCTACCACATTGGCATGGTTTTGTTGTCCAAGTAGTACTAGTTGATTTGTCAATTAGGGTGAATAGCAGTGTATATGTCCAGCTGATTAATGGGACTAAAACTTTATAGGAGCAAGTGTGGAACCACAATGGATAACAGTGGCATTCATGCTTTACATTTAGCCTAACTCTCTAAATATGAACAGACTATCAGTGTGGTTAGTAATGTAGTTAAAGGGACACTATAGACACCCAGACCACTTGAGCTCAATGAAGTGGTCTGGGTGCCAGGTCCCTCAGGTTTTAACCCTTCAGAGAAACTGCTATGTTTACATTGCAGGGTTAACCCAGCCTTTAGGGGTGGTCTTCCTGACAGCAGCTTCTACGACACTGTATGCGAAAATCGCATTCAGAGCATCCATAGGATGGCATTGAGAAATGCTTTCCTATGGACTGAATGCATGCAGCTCTTGCGGGGCATGCGCATTACGCTCCACTCAGCAGGCAGGAAAGGTCACAAACGCCAAGGGAACCTGGCACTGAATTAAAGTAACTGAAGGGGTTTTAACCCCTTCGGCCCCAAGGGTTGTATAGTGCCAGGAAAACGAGTTTGTTTTCCTGGCACTATAGTGGTCCTTTAACTAAAGTCAACTTAACAGGCGTGACCTCTAGCAAACTTTGTATTAAATAGAATGTTAAGTCAGTACCTTGTTCTAAAATGCAACCAAAACTAGATAACTAACAACAGTTAGATTATCTAGAGCAAAAGCAGCCACTACTCCATGGACTTTCGAGAGGGGTTAAAAATATGCTCCAGCTGATATTTTTCAGAAAACCAGCTTGCAGCTTAAATGAACAAGCCTGGACATGTACAAAAGCCACATGTGTAGCAGAGGAAGAAAAAAGCAACACGACCATTCTTACAGTGACTAAAAACCATGGGGGCCTGCTATACAAAGAGACAAGGCTTGGGACAGTGAGTTACCCTCAGGGACATGGTTAACATATGCCAGTATCAGACCAAGGAATGTTAGTTATTAGAGCACACATTGCTCCAGCACTGACTGGGCCCATCGGTCACCCAGACAGATATATGTACAGAGACAGGAAGCCTGCCTCCTATACAGACAGAGCACTGAGTACACCGACCCCGTATACGCCGTACAGTGAGCACACTGACAGCCCCCCCTTACAGTACTCAATACGAGTACCGAGCAGGCTGCCCGCTCCCAGCTATGGACACACAGGCGGAGCACCCGCTGAGAGGCACTAGTCCAGACAAGCTGCCTTCCACCCCGGGGAAAGCTCCGAGACACACAATACCGGGGCCAACGGACACGCAGGACATACGTCTAGCAGGGTCGGAAGGCAGAGCAAAGCGGGTTTAGCGGAGAAAGGAGGATGGCAGTGGATTGTAGCGAACAGAGCCGCTATCTCCCACAGATACTCACCGCCATGTTGGGAGCAGGGAAGAGATCGCGAGATCTCAGAGATCACCTTTTATAGTGCGAGAGGTGAGATGATGTCACCGCGAGAAGACGTGGGATCTCGCGCACGACTTCGGTTTAACCCCGAGTGTGCTGGAACGGAAGGCGCGCATGGCTAATAGAACTCCGTGGGAATGTGTCCGGTCCGCTGTCACTTGTAGCCAATGGAAATGGCAACACTTGGGCAAATATAGCTGAGCTGAAAAATAATAATAAATCATAGCTATAGTCATAATTTGCCTATTTTAGCTCACAGTTTGCCTACTTGATTTAATATTGCTACAAGTAAACGAATACTCAGAAAATACATATGTATATATGTTTACATTGCAGCTCTAAGTCTGCCCACAGTGGCTGTCTATCAGACACCCACTAGAGGGCTTCCTGGATTAAAACAGACCTTTGGTCCAGTATCTGACGCTGGACGTCCTCGCGTTCTGCATGAAGACCTCCACTGTCAGATTTTTCATCATAGGAAAGCATTGATTCAGTGCTTTCCTATGGAGAGGTCTAATGTGTGCGGCATCTGTTCATCACGGGCCGTTGGAGGGTGCGGAGCCAGGACCCAGCAGCCAGGGATATCGGCGCCGGAAAAAGGTGAGTAAAGTGTTTTTAACCCTTAATTGACCCGGGTGGGTGGCAGAGGGTGCTATGATGCCAGGAATACAGTTATGTATTCCCGGCACTGTAGTATCCCTTTAAAGGGTGACTTCAACCCATTTTTAGAGAGGGCTCTATTTAAAATGCCCTATTGGGCAGTATTAATTACTCCCCCCACCCTTCAAGTGACCCTTTAGGCATCAATACTTCCTCTCATTGAAGTGGTCTGGGTGCAATATACCTGTTCCCTTAATGCAAAGCAATTAGTGTAGCAAGAGACCCCACTAACATAATTGGATGCATAACTGTCATGATATAGAAGGAACCTCAAATACACAGACCTGATTTCACAACAGAGAGATTTACAAACCATATTACAAGTCCTTAATGTGTCCCGGTTTAACATAAGAATGGTCACAGAGATAACCAATTTCAACAATAAGATAAAAGTAATGTATGGTAGACAAGCCAAATATCAGGAGTACAGAAAACAGAATAATCAAACAGCAAGCGAAACCAATATCAGAGTCAGAATTAAAATAAATGTGCTATTGGGCTAAACAAAAACCACAACGGGGCGATTGGGATATGTAAATTGGGGATTTAAGTAGTGGATGCTTTATTACTATTGGGCCACATCATCGGAGAGTGCCGGAAGACATTGAATTTGCTAGTGCACAAAGTCATTAGCACGTGCCGAATAGATGTCTGTGGACATGTCATTCAGGTGAATAATTAGATGCACATGAGTGTATGGTGTAAGAGACCACTCTAGAGCAGCACAGAGGAGCCCTGGGAATCTGAAGGTATGGCAATACCTGCTTGGCAACTTATGCAATATTTAATGCAAAATCAGACCAGGGCAATAGATGGCCACCAGCACAGTGATTTCAGGTGTCAAAAGCAGAAGATTGGACATCCTTTTCTAGTCTCTTTATACTCTCCCTATTCTCTCAAGACCCAATTAAAAAAGGCCCAACAACAAAATTTAGCAAGGGCCAACCCCCCCCCCCCCACCACCAATGTAGAGAAGATAGGCTCCTCAGCTTCCGTCTACCACTCCCCACAATACCAGCCTCACAACACGGGTAGTAATCTCACCACTATTTGGAGATATTGAACTTTGACACTGTCTCCTATGCTGGGGAACTCTCCCACTCATTATACCAAGTTAAATCTCATGTCAAATAACATGTGATGTAATATGCTTCCACTTGAATGTCTTGACAAACCCTGTATTTTTAACATTCCTTCTTCATTATGTAACCTATTTTCTTGATATATAAAAATGACAAAATACATAAATAAATAATTTGTAATTTTTTTTTTTTTTAAAAGCTGAAGATGGGTGGGGGGCGGGCTGGACTGCCTGAAAAGTCGCATATACTATCAGCTCCTGCAATATTCCGCTATTAATGTTTAAAAACAGAGATAAACTTGCCCATCTGAAGCCTGGAAACGGCAGCCCTGCATGTACAGAGGTCCTGGTTCCGAAGCAACACTTTCCATGCACATTCTGACTCTTCTAAAGGGTGCTTCGACATTGTGGTTACTGAGGTCTACTCAGGTGGTGGGGTGGATGGCCGCCACCCTGCTATCCTGACCTGTGGATAGTACCAGGATCTCTGAAACCATAGGGTACTGGCCTCATTCCCCCCCTTTGGACCGGTGGGGGTCATCCCAGTCCTAGTCTTGGAGTGCCCTCCTGCAACTGTTGGTTTGTTGTGCAGATCAGAGAGCCTCTTTCTAAGAAGGCGGACTCCTCATGTCAGGCTGCGCACTTCAGAGACCTGGCTGTGCTGACGTGCAGACTGGAATATATCTCCGCCGACTTCTGGGATAAACTGGAGCAACGCTTGTGGATGTCTGTCAGAAAGGAGGGGACCGAATACCATCCTCAGAAATCACTGGCCCGGTTCAAGTGCAGAGTATCGGGTCAGGCTGTGTAGCAGGCCCGTGACAGAGGGCAGCAATTGGAGCAACCTGTGATGGCAGATGCGGTGACTCACACGCCGGAGGGCCGTGGCCCACGTATTTCTGCCCAGCAGAGGACCAGAAGACTGGCTTACGGAGGAGATGCCACTACCTTTACCAAGCATGAATAGCCACGGAGCATGAACACTGGTTCTGCAGGCCACACAAGCAATCAGACCAGTTCAGGATTGTCCTGTGTATATGGAGGGAGTCAGTTGACTCGTGTCTCCAGAGCCAGTTATTACCTATGCCAACACCATGTCCCTGTTCCAAAGATTACGCTTTAATTTATTTATTTTCTTTCTCTATTATAACCTTTTCCTAGCCTAGCGTGTATACAGGGCTGGTGCAAGGATTTCTGCCGCCCGAGGCAAACAAAAATTTGCTGCCCCCCCATATATTCTGCCCATCATGGGACCTCACAATGCCCCACCCATATGATCTGCCATGATCTCCTCCCTCTCCCCCCACCGCCCTTAGTTGTCCTCCCTCCCTGTTGTGCCTCCTACCTATGTAGGAACTTCTGTATCCTGTACCCGCCCGCCGGCGGACTGACAGGAAGTGCTCACTGTACCGGTCCACGCCGTCCAGCCACGCTACACTGAGTGACTGGCAGGAGGGAGCGTTGTGCGGTGCGCCCTAGGCGACTGCCTAAGTTGCCTTTAAGACGCGCCAGCACTGCGTTTATAATCAATATGGGGCATTACTTACCTCTTCTATGGGTAGGGGTTCTCGGGCTACATAACTTAGTTAAGCCAACGGTACTCTTTATGACTATCTTACTGTTTATGTGGCAAAGCAAGTAATCTTCATGTCTGCCTGTTACCATTAGTTTTGACATTCATACACTGTCACACACTCAGACCTGACTATTGAGCATGACAATTACCCATTATAATAGTGCAGCACTCATGACACGTTATGAGCATTCTCACTCACGACTATTGTTCTACCCACTCATGGTATCATGTCGTTTATTAATATGTCTGTACAACCCCGCACTATAAAAATATAGATTTATTAAAAAGCTTCCTCAGCTAATTAGCCATCCCATTATTTTGTGGACTTTATGCATATGGAAAGTAAGATTTAAGTTTAAGGGAGGAGATTTTAAGTTGTTTATACTCCTAGTTTTGCCAAACTGTTTAACTCCATCTCAATAGCTCTCAGTGTGAGCCCAAAGTCTTAGTTATGGATGGATCACAATCACTGAATTGCAGTTTGAATCAGTAGGGGAAATTTATCAAAGTGTTTTGTTCTGACAAGTGGTGTAACTTCTTGTATTTGACACAATTTATTAGAACATAACATTGACAATTCTCCCCCATAATATTGCAGAGGTAGCTCTTAACCACAAGGCTGGAAAGTTGAAGGGTGGGTCTGAATTCCAGTGACAGCCAGTTTAGTTCTTTTAACATGACACAATGGTGGGTCATGTAATTACATTGTAGCACAAAACAGAATAAGTTATACAATGTAGTATGTACAATGTAGTTTATTAAGGTGGGTTTGCGGTGCAGGTGCATACACTACATCCCCATAATCAATTAGCCTTTGCTGTACAATCTTTTCCTTTACTGTGTTTAGGAAGAGTTTGTGTTTGGCAATCCACTATTCTACTTCTGTGAACTGGTCTTGGAGCACAGCCTCAAGCTGCGGTAGATATGGTTTTCTTGTGTATATAACTGTATCGTCTGCATACATGTGTACAGTTGGGGCTTTGCAGACATTAGGCATATCATTTATGAATATAATAATAATAAATACCCATGTATTGCAATGGCAGAGTCAGGTATTTTTGTAATTAACCAGGATTCAGAGAGCACAATGATTGTGGGCTTATAATGGGAACACCATGCTTGCAGTACATCGATTTTAGGTAGTAAGCTGTGGATGTTACAATGCACAAAAGAGAGGCCTATTTTAGCATGGAAGATGGGAATGTAATCAGTTTGGGGACATGGGTTACACTCCACATTATTTGCAAGGGCAAGTAACACGAGTAATAGGAATTTGGACATAATCTTGGTTTGGTAGTATTGCAATTGTGAGGTTTTATAATTTTGTGGGGTGGGGGTAGCAGGGCTTGATTTTAAATGAGCACTATAGGGTCAGGAACACAAACATGTATTCCTGACTGTAAAGGGTTAAAACCACTATCTAGCCACCCTGGTCCCCTCATGCTTCCCTAAATATAGTAAAATCTTACTTGTATTCAAGTCTGCAGCTGCTTACTTTGTCCCTGTTTCCTTTAGACCTGCCCACTGCCTGCTGACATGAGCAGAAGTAGTAGCCTGATCCAATCACAATGCTTCCCCATAGGATTGGCTGAGACTGACAAAGAGGCAGATCAGGGGCAGAGCCAGCACAATTCAAACACAGTCCTCGCGAACCAGCATCTCCTCATACAGATGAATTGAATCTCTAAGAGGAAAGTTCAGTGTCTGCATGCAGAGGGAGGAGACACTGAATGTTTGGAGGCATTTTAGGCAGCCATGACCCAGGAAGGATCTCTAACAGCCATCTGAGGAGTGGCCAGTGAAGTTATCACTAGGCTGTAATGTAAACACTGCATTTTCTCTGAAAAGACAGTGTTTACATCAAAAATCCTGAAGGTAATGATTCTACGCACCAGAACAAATTCAATAAGCTGTAGTTGTTCTGGTGACTATAGTGTCCCTTTAACACTCTCCACCAGCACTCAGCAGATACGTTGCAGCAACAGAGCAGGCCATGATGTATAAGAATTTGTTTTTCAGTTTGTGGTGAGTGGTGCTTAAAGGTATAGTGGTAGGAACATGATTGGAGTGTGAAAAGGTTAAAGAATATGAATATGGTCAAATTTTAAATCACGTTAGAGGTATGTTTCAGGAGGGGTGGAAAAACAATAAAAAATAATGCATATATGGTGAGGGAGTAGTACTAACACTAAACACATGGCTAGGTATAGAACACAAACATAAATGTAGCATGCACAACACCGTGTGGATAATAATGATGCTGATTGAAACACTGTCTGCGGTTTTCCTCATTGTGTCCTCCTTGGTGAACTCCCTTGGTAAACTCCTATGATTCAGGGCACTTATTGGTAGTTGGCAATTGATGATGAATAGTGGCACACAGATGGAAAGTGGCCTGTGCTCCCTTTCAGCTTTTATCTCAAGGAGTGACATAAAAGGAAAGAAAAACATGTAAGATGGGAAAATTTTGTAATTTACTAATAAACTGCTTACAATGTGTATAATATGTCTGACTGCGTGTGTAGCATTGTGTACACATAGTAGTGTGTGTATACTGTCTGAATGTGTGTATAGTAGTGTGCGTATAGGAAGGTGTCATTGTCTAAGTTTGTGTATAACAGTGTGCATACTGTGTTTGAATGTGTGTGTCAGTGTGTGTATATTGTGAGTTTGTGTGGCAGTGCATTTCACTGTGTGTCTAGTGCAGGCATAGGCAACCATTGGAACTCCCTCTCCTATTGGCCTAGGGCAGGCATAGGCAACCTTCGACACTCCAGATGTTTTGGACTACACCTCCCATGATGCCAGCATTCTGGGTGTAAGAGCATTATAGGGGGATGTAGTCAACATCTGGAGTGCAGAATGTTGACTATCCCTGGTCTAGTGTGTATATACAGGGCCCCTGTGCAAAACTGCCCTGAGGTCCCCGTCCCCCGCCCTTCCATTTGTATAATATAACACATACAGATACATTCTCTCTGCTGCCTTTAACACCGTTGATCATGCTCTCCTTCTTTAAACTCTTCACTCGGTCTCTGTGACTCTGTCCTCTCATGGTTTTCTTTTTATCTCTACCAATTCTTATTCGGTGTCTCCTTATTTAATGATACCTCCTCCCTTTGTGTGTGTGTCGGTTGGAGTCCCCCAAGGCTCTGTCCTTGTTCCCTTTCTAATACTGCCTCTCTTAGCAAACGTATTACCTCATTTGGATTCTACTACCAGAAGTGAGTGTCATTTGGATGACACTCAGAAATACCTCTCCTTCCCCGGACCTCTCCCCTGCCGTCCTGCAACTGTCACTGCTTGCCTTTCTTCCATCTCTGACTGGATGTCCTCCCGCTTTCTGAAACTCCATCTCTCTAAAACGGAGCTCCTTGTTTTTCCTTTTCCCTAATACTGATCCTCCTCTTTCGCTCTTCCTTCAAGTTAGTGGTATCCACTAGTCCATCTTTGCAAGCGCACTGTCTTGGCGTCATTCTTGACTCTGGCCTCGTCTTTGAGCCTCGCATCCAGTATGTTACAAAATCCTGTAGATTCCATCTTAAAAACATAGCCCGCATCTGCCCCTTTCTTACACAAGATGCTACTAAGGAGCTTGTCCATGCTCTAGTAATTTCACACATGGCTTATTGTAACCCTCTCTTAATTGGTCTTCCCAAAAGCCGTATTGCCCCGCTACAGTCTGTAATCGAAATACTGCCGCCAGACTTATTTGTCTCTCTAGTCAGTCCTCTCACACCTCACCCATCTGTCAGTCCTTACATTAGCTTCCTGTATCCAACAGAAGTTAGTTCAAAGTACTAACCCGTACCTATAAAGCATTGAACAATTCTCTTTTATGAGAGATCTGTCTAAACATGTAGCGATATTTACTACCTTAAAGGACCACTATAGTGCCAGGAAAACATACTAGTTTTCCTGGCACTATAGTGCCCTGAGGGTGCCCCCACCCTCAGGGTCCCCCTCCCGCCCGGCTCTGGAAGGGGTAAAAACGTACCTTTTTCCAGCGCTGGGCGGGGAGCTCTCCTGCTCCGATCCTCCTCTTCTCCTCCCATGCGGCTGAATGCGCACGCGCGGCAAGAGCTGCGCGCGCATTCAGCCGGTCACATAGGAAAGCATTCATAATGCTTTCCTATGGACGCTTGCGTGCTCTCACTGTGAAAATCACAGTGAGAAGCACGCAAGCGCCTCTAGTGGCTGTCAATGAGACAGCCACTAGAGGAAATAGGGGAAGGCTTAACCCATTCATAAACATAGCAGTTTCTCTGAAACTGCTATGTTTATGAAAAAATGGGTTAACCCTATAAGGACCAGGCACCCAGACCACTTCATTAAGCTGAAGTGGTCTGGGTGCCTAGAGTGGTCCTTTAAATAAGGCCCAATCCTCCCTACGCAGGGTATTTCGTTCCCAGTCACACCGTTTTTCTGGGAGAGCTGGACATTATAGAACGAACAGCAGAGCTACAGGTTACAGGCCTCGTCCCACAGAAAATTACTGGAACTCGGGACCATACCACTGACAGTTATTCACCATCGTTGGATCCATCCGGGGACATGAATCTGCTTCCTTACATGCATGCACTGCTCCAGGTAAGAAACCTTCCTTTTTTCAATGTACCTATAGCAGGTCGACTAACCCATTTTTTCCAACAGTGGGAATTGCTTTCAGAATAGATTTCCTTTCCACTCCTTTCTAAGATACACCACCTACACTGTTACGGATGTCTACAACAGACACTGTTACGGATGTCTGCATTACAAACAGAGTTGAACAAACTGGTGGAAATAGGAGCGATCGACAGATCACCTTTCCCACATACTTTTCTCAGCAACATATTCCTGGTCGCAAAAAGAAGGGGGAGATCATCATCCAATTATCAATTTGAATGTCAGATATCACCATTTCATGATGGATGGCATCCATCTTCTCAAGGACCTCCTTTGCGTGTGAGACTGGTTCTCCAGATTCGACCTTAAGGACGCATACCTCAGTCCCTGTTGCTCACAATCATCGGCTTTCCTTCAATTCCTCTGGCAAGGGAAGATTTGGCAGTTCACATGCCTTCCCTTCGGTCTTTGCTCAGCACCATGGTGCTTCACAGAATTAATAAAACCAATTATGGCACTACTCCGATCGCAGGGGATTTGTTCCATTGTATATTTGGACGACGTTCTGATTATCGCTCAGAATCCAAATCTTCTCCATCAACATATGGCCATGACAACTGCCTTACTACAAAATCTAGGTTTTATCATAAATTTTCAGAAATCGGATCTGGAACCTTCTCAGACGGTCCAGTTCCTCGGATTTCTAATAGATTTAAAACAGGCAATTTTACAATTACCATCCACAAAGATCAAATCTATCAAGAGAGACACAGGAAATTGCTGTCAGCTCAACAGATTCGCCTATGCGACCTGGCACATAATATAGGTCTCCTGTCAGCCTCTATCCAGGCTATATATCCGGGACCCTTACACTACTGAGCTATGCAGCGGCTAAAAACATATTACCTTCACCGGTCCACTTCATGCGATCAGTTGATTTACGTAGTGGACGAAGTCCGTATAGAACTCCACTGGTGGCTTCACAACATGGAAGCCTGGAATGGCAAAGCCATATTTGAATCGCAGCCAGACTTCGTTCTAGAATCCGATGTCAGCCTCCTGGGGTGGGGCACAACATGTTCGGAAACGTCCACCGGGGGACTATGGTCCCCCTCGGAGCAGGCTCTACACATCAACTGCCTGGAATTAATCGCAGGATCCTTTGTGGTCCACAGTTTTGCAGAAGACTTTCTCAATTGTTCCCTGGTATTGCGCATGGACAATGTCTCGGCAGTGTGTTATGTGAATTCGTTGGGAGGATCCCGATCCAAATTGCTGTCTGATCTTACAAAGGACCTCTACCAATTCTGCCTAGAGAGAAATCGATTCATCCGGGTGGAATATCTTCCGGGCATGGACAATCTAGTCGCAGATTGGTTCTCCCGACATTGGAGGAACGTCAGCGATTGGCAATTAGATGAATTTGTTTCATCAAATTCATTGTCTTCACGGACCCCTCACACTAGACCTCTTTGCGTCTCGGTTGAACCGCCTTTTTCAGCTGGCTCCCAGATCCCCAATCCTGGGCATTCGATGCATTTCTACATCCTTGGCCAGAGACAGGAGCTTATGCATTCCTGCCGTTTTCCATGATCCAACGCACCCTTTATCGGGTCAAAACTCTGGTAGTAACGATAGTCCTTGTGACCCCTTTGTGGAGGACCCAGACTTGGTTACCAACTCTTCTAGAAATATCAGTGAATTACCCAATTTTATTGCCTCAATTCCCCGAAATTCTCAGGAATCCAGCAGGGGACTGCCACCCGCTCGCTCTTCAGGAACGGCTCCAGCTTGTAGCTTGGACCGTTTCAGGGGATCTTGGAATGTCTTAGGGCTTTCAAAAGCAGGTCAGGTTTTCCTATGGGACTCCTGGGCCACAGGCACTAGACGCACCTACCTCTCTGCATGGCAGACATGGGTCAGCTGGTGTTTGGAAAGGGATATTGATCCCTTTTCAGTACATCCTTCACCCATTCTAAATTTTCTATCCACCCCTTTCGATCAAGGCAAATCCTACAGGTCGATTAATGTGTTTCGATCCGCCATCTCTGCGGCCAACAACTCTATTGACAATTTGTCAATAGGAAAACACCCTTCTGTTTGTAGACTTTTACGGGGTATCCGCTTGACCAGACCCCCTCATCCAAGATATTCCAATTTCTGGGATGTCACCCAGGTTTTCTCCTTTTTGGAATCCTGGCTTCCAACGAAACTTGGTTGTTACGCCAACTTTCTGCCAAGTTGGCATTGCTTCTATGTTTAGTATTCTTCTGTAGGGTTTCCGATATTCGGGCGCTTGACTACCGTGCTGTAGTTTTCACACCTGAGGGAGTTAAATTTCCTATCACCAGATGTACAAAGACTAATTCCCCCTCAGTCTTCTATCCTTGTTTTCCGAACAGACCATCCCTCTGCGTGGCACGTTGTGTTCAGCATTATATAGATACCACAGCCACGCTGCGTTTCCCTACGGGGCCCCTTTTGGTTTCTTACATCAGGCCGCACAAACCGGTCTCCACTCACACTGTCGCACGATGGATCAGATGCATCCTTGTCCAAGCGGGAATTGACCCTTACTTTGGAGCACACTCAGTCAGAGGAGCAGCCGCATCCTCTGCCTTTCGTGCAGGCAGTTCCCTCTCAGACATCCTATCCTCTGCGGATTGGTCCAGAGAGTCAACCTTACGTACCTTCGCATGCTGTATCTTCTATCATATAGGAGCGTTAAAACAACAAATATGAAGCCTCCTGTCTTGCCATAAAATTAGGGATTATTCTAGCTTTAGTGAAGGAATAAGTAGGAGAGTATCCCCCCCACCCCGCCTTTTCATATAGTTTATTCCCACCCCTTAAGGTAAGTTATTTGTTAAATTAAAGGTGTATACACATTCCAACGTTGTATCTACGCACCATCTGCAATATCTTTACACTCAAGTATTATGTTCATAAATTTATCACTCTTTCACCAATATTTAATACCACCTATGCCAAGTATTCCTGTTCACTATATTCAAATGTGTTCCATAAACCTGTTTTTTCTCTGGTAAGAGAGCCTATACTTTCATGGAATTCTCTCTGTTTCCTTTTAGTGTGAAGACCCTTCTACGGTTCTTACAAAGTGGAGTATGCAACTCAGTCTTTGGTTTACAGAGTTGACCAAACACAGGACCTTCAGTTCGTCCTTTGTTCAGGGAGTTATACTGTTTACATGGTTGATCTCAGCTACAGCAAGAACGAGGAATTGGGAGGTGCTTGATGATACTATATGATATTGTTACACTCTGATTGGTTTAACTTTTTTACATCATTGTTAACTATTTCTTGCTGCTGAGAGGTTCAGTAAAGAAAGATAAGCAAATATTTGCCTCCTGTCGTTAATAAAATTTAGATTATTTGTTCACTAAAGCTAGAATAATCCCTAATTTCTGCCCCAGGTGACAAGTGACCAAGATACGCCTCTAGGTGTATGCATGCATATACAGTGTTGCTGGCAAATGTATAGTTTGGGAGAAAACCTGTATAAAAATAGTTTTTTGTCCATTTCACAATCAAATCTCTGGTACAGGCTCTATCCTGATGATTTGACTGACAAGGAATAGCAGAAAAGACTTCCCATAGTAGTTCCTTCTGCTCTCCCAAACACAGCAACCACAGCACATGCACTTTGGTTGCTATGGAGACTCCCTAGCCAACTCCTAGCACAAGCTAGGGAGCATAGAGACTAATGTTCAGACTCCGGCATGCTGGCAATGAGTCTCTGTTGGGGAAGTATTCCCAGACAGGGCAAATCAAAGAAGATGGACCAGAGGTGGGAGGTGGGTGTGATAGTAGTCACCATCACCAGGAGTTTCAGACAAATATTTTATGTAGGACTGTGGACTACTCCTATGTCAAAGTCATCCTGTGCAAATTATAGGTGCAGGTTGTGTATCATTTATTTGTGTATTGTTAATTGTTTTGTCTGCTCTCCTTTCCTGCTGATGCTTGCTACCAACTAGGTCGATTTGACTATAGAGACTGTAGACTGGCCTCTGTATGCACTACCTGAATAGCAAGGCTTGTTAATTTGCATATTCAGGTAGATTTGCATATTGCTAATTCTGCAGACAGGACGGATGGTTTGTGTTAATTATTTTCTTCCCCACCAATTTATAAATATGTAATTCTGTTATTATAAATTCCTGCATTTTGTAACTCCTTGAGACAGGCAACTGGACTTAGATTGCAGTTATCAGGAAAGGTCGGCCGTCTAGAAATATCAAGCGAAACACCGTCACGAGTAAAGGAACTGCAGTAAGATCCAGTGCACGAACACATGACACACGTCTTACAAGAGATCAGACAATCAGTTTCGCTGAGTTGCGTGAGTGAAAGTTCCTCATTCTTTTGCCAAAGAACAAGACTCACAGCCCAATCTGATGGCCGCATCATCACCAGGGCCGGACTGGTCCACCGGGATACCGGGAAATTTCCCAGTGGGCCGTCGGCACCTGGGGCCGGGCAGGCAGCTGGCTGACCTGCGGCCACAGAGGGAGCTCCCTTGGCGGCCGCAGGGGGAGCTGGCTGTTCTGTCTCTGCTCCCCCTCCCCAGCGCGCAAGAAAGAGACTGGGGCCGGAATATGACATCATATTCCGGCCCCGGTCTCATTAAGCGGCGCGCTGGGGAGGGGAAGCAGAGACAGAACAGCCAGCTCCCCCTGCGGCCGCCAGAATAGCCAGCTCCCCCTGCGGCCGCCAGAGCAGCCAGCTCCCCCATGCGGCCGCCATCAGAGCTCCCCACAGGTAGACATTGTGTGTGTCAGTGTGAGTGTATGTGTGTGTGTGTCTGTGTCATTTGTGTGTGTGTCTGTGTAATGGTGTGTGTCTGTGTCATGGTGTGTGTGTGTGTGTCTGTCTGTGTCATTGTGTCTGTCTGTGTGTCTATGTCTGTCATGATGTGTGCATCTGTGTCATGGTGTGTGTGTGTGTTTGTGTGTCTCTCATGGTGTGTGCGTCTGTCATGGTGTGTGTGTGTGTCTGTCTGTGTCATGCAATGTGTGTCTGTGTCATTGTGTGTGTCTGTGTCATGGTGTGTGCGTCTGCCTGTGTCACGGTCTGTCTGTGTCATGGTGTGTGTGTGTTTGTCATGGTGTGTGTCTGTCTGTGTCATGTAATGTGTGTCTGTCTGTGTCACGGTGTGTGTGTCTGTGTCACGATCTCTCTGTGTCGTGGTGTGTGTCATGGTGTGTCTGTCTGTGTCTTGTGTGTCTGTGTCACGGTCTGTGTTATGGTGTGTGTGTCTTTTTTAAGGTGTGTGTCTGTCATGGTATGTGTGTGTCTCTGTCATGGTGTGTGTGTGTCTGTCTGTGTCATGGTGTGTCTGTCTGTCATGGTGTCATGGGCTTGCTTGTGTGTGTGTGTGTGTGTGCCTGCTACTGAGTGAGCTTGTGTTTTTATTTTAATGACCTTATGTATTTCAGTGAGATTGATTGTCTATGAGGCTGTGTATCAATCAGCTTGTGTCAGTGAGATTGTCTGTGTCTGCATGTGAGTATGCTTACGGTATAATTAAACATTTTACTTTGAAAGGACCAATATTTTATATTGGAAAAAGATATATATATATATATATATATATCTCAATCATCTAGGGTGGCAAGACATAGCCTTACATATTACATGCGACAATATATGGCGCAATGACTTATGGGGCTGGCATAGATTTTTTTTTTCCAGGGCTGCATTGGAATCCCCAGTCCGGCCCTGATGATCACTCGATGCGGTCAGTGTACGCGGCTCAGGTGAAGGCAGGAGTGCTGAGGACCCCGGCTGGCCTCCGGATAAGGTAAGGTATTGCCACAGTACCCCCTCACGAAGACATGCCCACCACACGGGAAGAACCAGGCTTGAAAGGAAAACGGAAATGGAATGGACATAGAAGGCGAGGGGCATGAACATCAGCAGCGGAAACCCAACTGCGCTCCTCTGGACCAGACCCCTTCCAATGGACCAAGTACTGGAGTCGGCCCCTAAGGAGACAGAAATCAAGCACAGCAGTCACCTCATACTCATCCTTGCCCTCAACAGAGTCAGGGGGAGGGGGAGAACAAGGCCTGGTGAACAGGTTACAAAGAAGAGGTTTCAACAAGGAGGTGTGGCACACATTGGGCACATGCATGTTCCTTGGAAGATCCAAGGCATAAGAAAAGGGATTAACCGTGCGCAAGATGTGGAAAGGACTGATATAGCAGGGAGCCAACTTCAAAGAAGGAACTCGGAGGCGGATATTATGATGCCTGTACCTTTTGACAAGCAGCAGAATCCACCAGGGAACGCTGAACCTTTTCTAAGTTTTGTGCAAACCAGCCAAATGTCCGTCCAGAACAGGCATACGCCGTGAAGAGAATGCAGATGGGAGAACAACAGGATGCCGGCCACAAACAACATATAAAGGACTCGTTGGCAGCATTATTACGAGCTAACTCAGCCCAAGGGAGCAGGTCAGCCCAATCATTCTGATGGTGAGAAACAAAACAGCAAAGATATTGCTTTAAGGACTGGTTGGCATGTTCAGCATCTCCATTACTCTGGTAATGGTAGGCAGAGGAAAAGGATACAGCAATACCCATCTCTGAACAAAAGGCTCTCCAGAACCAGGAAATAAACTGACTACCCCTATCAGACACTATAGAATCAGGTATGCCATGTAATCTAAACACCTCCCTAGTGAATCCTTGGAAAAAGGTAACTTGACAAGTGACACAAAATGAGCCACCTTAGAGAATCTATCAAAGATCATTAAGATGACCGTTTTACCATTGGTAGGAGTAAGGTCAACAATAAAATCCTTGGACAGGTTAAATCAAGGGCTCTTGGGTATAGGTAAAGGTTATAATAACCCACAAGGAACCCTATGGGAGGACACATTCTTGTATGTAATCTGTGATGTCCTTGGGCCATCGAATGTTCTGTGAAACTGCAATTAAAGTTTTAGAGATACCAGGATGCCCGGCTGTCTTAGTATCATGATAGAGTGACATAATGTCTTGTCTTTCAGTGAGAGCAACAAATACCTTATCAGCAGGTTTTTCTCTTGGTGCCTCGTTTTGTTTGGTTTGTATAATTTGTAGGATAGACGAACAAATAGAGAGAAGATTAGTAGCGATCATCCTGTCAGGCGGTATGACAGGGGTGAGATCAAATTCTTGTTTATCAGTTGTTTCAAACTGCCTAAGACAGAGCATCTGCTTTGGTGTTGTGGTAACCAGATCTATAGGCAAATGCCCGGTGGACCACGGTTGCCATGGGCCGAGGCCGGCAGGGGAGATCACAGGATCTCTCCTGCCGGTCTGTGCGGGGGCGGCACTATCAGAGCGCTGGCCCTGCTGCATTCCATGACGGGCCGTTGGGCAGATCAAAGTTCTCCCTCATCGGCCCACTGTCAGGATTACAGTATGATCCAGCACGTAGAATTGTATACCACAGAGGACTGATAGGTAACGTATACCGGACCTTAGAATGGCTGGACTAACGTACCAAAGAATAGTCAGGAATAGCCGAGGTCAAGGGATACAGAATGAGACACAACGATAAGGAAAAGCCAGGGGTCAGGGATGTCAGAAAACAGGGAAGTCAAAAACAATGCCAAAGTCAAATAACCAGAATTACCAGAATCAATAACGCGCGCTTGGACAACCACAAGGGAAATCACGACAGGGCACTGAGCAGGATGAGAACTGGGCCTAAATACCCCTCCTCTGGATCTGATCTGTAATCGGCCTTTGACCCCATAGGCAGTTACCAGGTTTCCATTTGCATAATTGCTGCTCAGCACAAACCCTCCTGTGGATTTAATTGATGCTCAGCACAACTTTTCCTGTCAGGACAGTAATATTGTTCGGCACAACTTTTCCTGTCTGAACAGTAAATTCCATTAATCACATTTTTATAAGCGGATGAATACGTGACACCCACATGTAGTATATTGCGGCTGCCAGCGGGGGAGAGAGGGAGGGAGACAGGAGAGGAACTCGGAGGAGCTCTAACTTGCAGGACCCTCACTCACAGCACCCTTACTCACACACACACACACACTGCACCCATGGCACTCACAGCACCCTCACTCACTCACTCACACACACACACACCCTGCACCCCTGACACTCACAGCACCCTCACTCACACACACACACACACTACACCCCTGACACTCACAGCACCCTTACTCACACACACACTGCACCCCTGACACTCACAGCACCCTCACTCACACACAAACTGCACCTCTGACA